CCTCTCTTATTTTTTCTATAAAAAAGAAAAGTTTATTAATATAGAACTTTAATAAGCTATTTATACTTATAAGATAGTTTAGCATTATAATAAAGTAGACTATATAGTAAATATCTTTAATCTTTACTATATAATAAAATAGCGTTAAGTGAGGCTTAACTTCTACTTATTACTTCTAAAAATTAAGAATAAAGTAATTAAGTTCTTTACTATAAAAGTATAAGCTTTTAGAAGAGCTTTATTTAAATATTTTTTAGCTATAAATAATATTTAGGATTTAGATAGTATTTATATTCCTTTTTATTTTAATATCTTATAAGATACCTCTATTTCTCTTACCTAAGTAGCTATTATAACGCTTATAATAAGTATTATATTTAAAGTTAATAATGTTACTATTTATATATTTTAAGCTACTTAGCTAGTTATAGCTAAGTTTATTTAAGCTTTTTTTAAGCTTACTTAATTTTTAAGTACTACTTAGAGATCTTTAAAAAAGCTAAAGTAGTTTTTATACTAAAAGGGGGGAAATTTCTAATTAAAATTACTTTATATTATTTTATATCTTTACTCTCCTACTTTAGAAAAAACTTTAAGTATTTATTTACTTAGTATACTACTTATATAGTATTATTAGCCTGAATTATTAGCGCTTAATATTTTAAAGCCTTCTCTAAGTATAATATAGTTAATTTTATTACTTATATAACTTATAAAATTAAAGCTACTTTTAAAACTAGTTTAGTTATTTCTTTTATTATACTTAATACTAAGGGCGTTTTTAATACTATTCTCTATAATTACTTCTTTATTAGATTATAGAAATAAGGATAATTAGAACTTTTTATTTACTATATTAAGTTATTTATAACTAGATATTAAGCTTAAATTTATATTAAGGGTATTATTTTAAAACTCTTCCCTTTTTACTATAAGCTCTTTTAAAGCTCCCCTATTTCTTTTATTCTATACTTACTCTATTTTATAAAGCTTTTATTATAGAACTCTAACTTTTATTTTAAGTATATTAATAATATTTTAATATAGATTAAGTTCCTTTTTATAGAGGAAAACGCTAAGCTATTTATAATTAATATTACCTATATTTTATACTAAAGTATTAAAAATAAAGTCTTTTTAAGCTAAAGAAGAGTGAAGCTATATATATTTTATAAAAATATAAGTTAATAAATCTTCTAATTAAGGCTAATAGCTTAATAATAACGCTTAAAGATATTATAAAGTAGCTTAAAGTTATTTTTAACTATAAGTTTACTTTTATACTATATATTTAGATTTAGGCTAATATTATTTTAAAGTATATTAAATTCTTTTATAGTTTTAAGGTAGTATATAGAAGCTTTCCTCCTATTTTTATATATAAAGCTATCTCTTTAATTATTATTCTTATTATTATTTATAGTATAAAAGCTTAGTTTCTTAGCTTTTAGAAACTTAATTACATTCCTATTTAGTAGCACCTTAATATTACTTTAATTAAACTATTCTATTTTATAAATTAAAAAGGGTATTTCTAGCTTATTAATAGAGCGATTTATATTAATATTTAGGGAGTTCTATTTATATAGTATACTACTTTTATTACTATATTATATTATAAATCTAAAATCCCCTTTATAGATATTATACTTAAAGCTTATTAACTTTACTTTATTATAAGATTTAGGCGTTTTAACTTTTATTACTTATTAGTTTAGCGTTTTTATATCTACTTATTAAACTTCTACTATAAACTTATATAATTATAATATACTACTATAATGCTTTTCTATTACTTTTATTTAATTTTAATATTTTTATAGCTTTTAAGCTTTTCTTACTTTCTAAAGAAGATAGCTACTACTAAATTTAAAACTTAGCTTAAAGATATATTTAAAAATAATATTATTACTTATATTAATAGATCTAAACTTAAGTTTAAAGAAGTTAGCTATAGCTATATTATATTCTTAAGTGAAAAAGAAGAAAAGAAGAAGGCTAAAACGCTTCTTATATAAAGTTTTTAGTACTTTAGCTTTACTAAAGTTTTTAATATTAAAACTAAAACTATAAACTTTAGGTTTTATATAGTTATATATTTATAGAGTCTAATAAGTATAGTTTATATTTATATTAATAACTTTAGTGTTATTAACGTTTTAGAGGGATATAGTAATATACCTTTATCCTTATAAGTAACTATTCTTTAAGCTAAAGAGTATATTATTTTAGTAACTTCTCTTATCTTTATATACTAAGTTCCTAATTATAAAGATATTTCTAGAAATAAGTTAGTAAATATATTTATAAAATAAAAGGCTTTAATAGCTCTTTCTAACTTTATTTTATTAGTTATTATAGCTACTATAAAGTATTTAGTATAGAAGAAAATTACTAAGTACTATTAGGAATAATAATATATAAACGAAAAATCTTAATATTACGCTTATAATAACTTTTAACTAACATTTTAATACCTTCTAAAGCTAAAACTTTTATAAAAACTTTTATACTACTTAATTACTACTTATTTAAAATATAATAATTTTAAAATATACTATAAGTACTTTACTTAGAAGTAATAAAATATTTAGAGATATAAATATAGAAAATAGAAATCCTCTATATATATAGTATTCTATTATTTAACCTACTTAAAGAAATTTTAGTAGTTTTAGCTACTAATTAATAATAAACTAAGACTATCTCTATTTAGGGACCTTAAGTATTACTAGAGATCTATAATTAGTAATCTAAAGTAGTTTAAGAAATTTAAAGAAATTATAGGTTTCTTTAGTAGTTAAAACTACTAAAGAATCTATTTATATAGATTTTATAACTAATAACCTTCTTAAACTCTACTATATTTTATTCTATTTTAATATTTTAGTTTAAATAATTTAAATTATTATAGGAAAATATAAAAATTAACTTATTAACTTTTCTAAGAAAATTTTAGTTTTCTTAATAAAATATAATAAGTTATAAGTAATTTTACTTCTTTAGAGGTTTATAGGTAGTTTAAGCTCTAGCTTTAGCTATTAACTAGAGGCTTTTTACTTAGATTTTATAATAATATTAGCTTTAGTATAGTAAAGCTTAGACCTCTATAGTACTAACTTTAGTTAAGTGATATAAGCTAGAAATAGGAGATATTTATACTATTTTCTAGTAATAAAAAGTAACCTCTAAACTTAGAAATACTATATATAGGAAGCGATTAACTAGAAGATACTTAAATTGAGGAGTAAGAATAGTATATAGTAGATTTATAGATATATAGGCTTACCCTATACGATATATACCCTAGGGAGCGTGAGCTTAGCTCTGACGTTGTAAAATAGAACAACAACAACAACAAAAATATTACCCCTGCACCACCCTTGTCTGCTGCTTTCGCAAAGGCGAGACTTTGATTGAGCCTGTGCGATGGTCTCAAGCCAATTTACCAAGGTCCTGGATCTGAGCGAGCTAAAAAGGCTTGAGATCTTGAAGATCCTGGTCGATGGACATGTGCGACAGCTACACACGGGTGTGGAGGAACAACATCTTCACTCGGACAACATTGTCATCGCCACGCGAAAGGGAGGGGGCTCGCCCCGATAAGCCCTCACTTGCTACCACGATACCAAGCTGAAAGCTTAGCATGATAGAGGCAGTGGCTAGGATAGAGGAGCATAGGAGAGAGAGCTGTCTGAATGTCCAAATCGACCCTGACTTTAGTTTCTACGAAGACGAGGGTCGCCTTGGGTCCGAGAGATTCTTCTTTTGCCTAGGTAATGGCAGATGAGAAGACCAACTCCGGCATGTTCTCAACCGTACGGTTGACCAATTTTGCAGCACAAATCGGGGCGTACTGTCTCATCAGCATGGCTGTGGCCACAAGGGTTGAAGCTGTCAAGGATGATAGGATGACCACGACGCCCGACAAGGTCTTCGAGCATCAGTCATGAAGATCGGCATCCACAGCGCCGGATTTCCACCGTCATATTCGCTCCAACTCAGTACCTATTACCAGCCCCACCTCTTCGTTCCTCGACCGGGCCATCAGCAATCAATCCATTATCTCTTCTCTACCTTTCACTCTTGCTTCGCCCAACGTAAAAGCCGTTGGGGTTCAGAAGTTTCTCTGCACTACATGTTACAAGCTACAATCTAAATAGATATTACACGATAACATTGTTGGTCTTTGCCCTGATTTTTCCTAGACGTAAGGTGATCCCACCGGAATCCGAAGGGTATGTCAAGAGCTCAAGTCGTAAAACGCTGGCGTAAGCAACGAATGGATCCTTTAGGTCTTACTGCCATTCCGAGAACGCCCGTGGATTTCAATCGGACCAAAGCTGACTAAAACAAGCGGTTCGACAGTTTGGTCAGCAGGCACATGTATTTAAAATACTCATCGGTCCGTCCGTCGAATTGCCTAGATAGCTTTCCACTGCCCTGCTCCTGCAAAGGACCCCACATTTGTCCGCATGTCACTCCGCAAGACGTCCTGCTCGTGCTGTGTCGCCGCCAAGAGGCGCTGCGACCGGGGCTTCCCCCAATGCCAACGGTGTTCGAAGCAGTCAATCGCTTGTCACTATCCTTACCCACCTATATCCGTCTTGAATCCTCGGAACGATTTCGGTAAATCGCGCGATGCTTTGCTGCGGTCGCCTCGGACGTCTGAAGGCCAACGAGACCATGTTTCGTCTGTGGAGAGTACGCAGCAAGATGTCCGGCAAGGGGACGAGGATGCCCGCGACGATAGCAGGTCTTTAGCTCCCGAATCAATCTTTCATGGTCACGACGCGGATTGGCTCACAGAATTGACGGAGACTTTACTCCCAGATCACCATGTTTTGCCCGAGCAGTATCATGAAAGCCCTGCAGCAACTCCATGCCCGGTCTCTCGCAGAAGGAGATCAAAGAAAGAGCACATGAGACTGGAGAATGCCAAGCGTACCAACGGCCAAAATACGCCCAGTCCTAGCCCATCCGGCGCTCTCTCAGGAGCCATGCTTGGCCCCTGGAGTAGATTCGAGGAAGTAGACACATGGAAATATTGTGCCAACGAGATGCTCTCGTACATCTCGCTCTACGCGAAGACTGGGTCCACGCCTATGATGGTAGCAACACAACAAATCTCTCCTCGTCTTGATCCAGTGCTTGGAAAAGTTCTAGGTGTCTGTGCTGCCCATGAGACTCTCTCAGAATCCCATGGACATCTCGTTGACCAGCTGCTGGACTGCGAACTTCAAGATCTGGTAAACACATCTACCCTAGCTTCCGACTACGATATGACTGGACAGAGGCGTGATTTGTGCTCTATCATGAGGGAGAAGGTTGCCAGACTTCAAGCTCTTATCATGTATCAAATTATTCAGCGTTTCAGCAACAAGACAGGAGACGCCCAGAAGGCTATGACCCAAGAAGCACTGTTTGTTTCTTGGACCAGAGAGCTTGAGCTGCAGGTACAGCTACTCCAACAACTACAGTCATCCTACGGCATGTACGACATGGCGAGTGCTTACTACACAGACCATACGGGACTACTCGAAGCAGCCTATCGGACGATCATCATGTCTTATGAAGTTCGCGCTGTATATTGGGTTCTCAATCACAAGATCTGTCCTGTCTGGCAAGATCTTTTTGCGATAGTGGTCCCGAAAAGCCTGTCTGGGCGAGACAAGTTACTCTACCCCGAGTATGTGGTTGAATGGGAAAAGGGCTCGATTCCAGTAGTCAGTAAGGATGATGAGAGGCTCCAAAACTTGATCGTGGCTGCGTGCAAGGGCGTCGACGCTGTGAGACGTGCAGAAGCTTGAGTGGCATAGGATTCGACTACATAGAAAATCCCAACTCTAACAAGCACGAAGCTCGTCCTTCCGGATTGAAGTAACGTCAGCAGCAAAGGGCAGTAAAATCGCCGCGGTCTTCCGAGCTGTACATGACCCACTTTGCTCCGCAGTCCCGCTGCAGTCCGCACCCGTCTTATATCGGAGTCACGGGGCCGTGTCGGAGAACCAGGATAATTCCAATGCACTTGATGGTTATAAAAGGCATGTTTGATGCTGTTTTGAGCGAGAAATATCACCTCTTCACTCAGTCCAGCTCAAGCACATTCTGTTCCAAGACTTCCCTTCTTACATCGGATACCATGGCGATCACGGAGCTCGTTTTCCTGCCCCTCAAAGATGATGAGGACCTGAAGGCTCGGTTCTATGAAGAACTCCCCGGCCTGATGCAGCCCAACTTTGACGTCCCTGGAGGCCCGGATACGGCAGCAGTGGCTCGAATCCTCGAAAGCAACCCCGAGGATGCTGATGACCAGCGCGGTTATGTGGGTGTGATTAGTATGTTTGGCTCCATGGCATGCCGCTATTATAAACATAGTTGCTGACTGACTGTTATCTTGCTAGGCTGGGACAGGCTTGACACGATCAAGGCTTTTCTCGCCACTCCGAACTTTGCTACCTTCAAGTCATCGTTGCTTAAGTTCGTGGAAGCACCCCCGGTCCTTCAATTTTTCGAAGAGACCGTCGGAGCCACACCCAGAGAGACGTTACAGAACAGCACTCATCTGTTCGTCATCAAGGCTACTGGTGCTGAAGCTGAAGTGGAACATTCCAAAATAAAGTGGAACAAGCTCGTGGCAGCTTTCCACGGTATCGAAGGCAATGAGACCCTATCTCATTGCGGTGAAGGGAGGGAAGTCCATCAAGGCCAGTTCGCTGGTTTCAGTGGATGGAAGTCAATCACAGTACGTTATGACTTTGACAGAACAGTCCCCAGACACGATTTCATGGTAGTTATGGCAACTGATCTGACTGGGTAGGCTCTCAACGATGCACTTCGAGATGGTCAGGTCCAGGAGCATCTCAAGGATCTGCGAAACTCTGGCGCACAGGTTTCCACCTTCATTCTGGAACTCAAGCAAATCATTTGATTTCCGATGTGTCTAGGTCGACAAGTCATCAACAAGCTGCAGGCGATTCTTGATTTGCCGAATGTTTAGTCGGGGGCTTGCTGTTAGTTGTAGATGTAGCATCGACCTTTGGAAGGTTATGTCAATAATAGAGAGAAATCCACCCAGTCTATTCACCTCATATCTTTTCCGCTGCCTCTTCCGGATCCATCACAGTTGTATGCTTTTCTACCCAGCGTTCGGTTGTTCCCACCTGTTAAGGCTTCAGCCTTTCCCGTGATTCAGCAAAATGGGCTCTCAGAAAAGGTGCTAAGGGACAATGGATGATGAAAACAGCTATTTTCAAGTTTTGTATGACACAATATTATTGATATTTCAGCATGTATATGAGACTGTTCGTCTGTTTCTACTCCGCAAAGAGACTAACCAAATCATCAACACACAAAGGCGAGGAAGACAGCTCAAAGCTTGGATGAGGGGCTCGAGGCATTGCAGCAGCTTGCACCACTTGCGCTGCCACTTCCTTTCTCCGACTCAACCAGGGTGCTCTGATTGAACTTCTGCTCGCTTGGCGGGACATCCAAAGCCGGGTTCTTATCAAAGAAGTTGACGGGCTTCAGGTGCACCTTGAGGATCTCAACAGGCATAACCGGGAAGTCTTCGATTCTTGGCACATGGTTGATGCCGAACTGAACCCATACGACGATGTCAGAGTTCGTAGTCAGAGTCTCGTTCCGCTCAGCCCAAGTTCTCACGCCTGTACCCCCTCGAGACTGATTCGTGTACCAACCGCCAGCGTAAAGCTCACGGTCACGGTGAGTCGTGACATAGATGTTGTGGTCGGCAAATTCTGCTCGCTTGTGGTTATAGCTTTCAGAGTCGCCCATGAGCTTCTGGAACGGAGGAGCCATTATTTTGTAGGCAACAGGCTTGCCGTTGACTGGGTTGAGCGAGTTGGGGTTGGTGATCTTGAAAGTTCTGTTGGTGTCTACATCAAGGTCCAGGCCAGCCGTCCTCTCAACTGTCGTTTCAATGACCCCATATCCAATGCCATGAGGGTTCCAGTCGGGATCTCTCGGCATTCGGTGAGCCTCTTGATAGACGAGCTGGTTGGTGTGGCCATCGATCATGGGATCTACTCGGAGAGAGAAGATGTGCTGGTGGTGGCCGGCAAGAACGCCTGGGTGGACGACAGTACCAAAAGGTACTCCGATCTTGTCCAAATCGTGGTCGATAGGTTGAGTCGACAGGATACCGGTAGCTCGTACTTCATATGTAACCTCACCAGCCTGGTTGAAGAGAAACATCAAAATGTACTCATAATTAGAGACAGTAATGATGGATTGAAGCACCAGCTCTCGTGACCTGACGACTGCAGCACGGCCAGTACGGTAGTTGGTGTGCTTCCAACCGATGCCGGCATCTTGCTCGTGAATGCAGATACAGTTTTCCTTCGCCTCCGGCTGACCCTTATCATCGGAGATGATTCCGCTGAGATACTGAATGCTTCCGAGGCAGTCGCAGCCAAGCTGGAGATTATTGGCTGTAGCGCCGGCTCCAGCATCACCCAAGTCAAAGGCAGTTTTCTTGAAGAAGGGATGACGAGGGTCTGCATACGGAACATTCATGTCCGAGAGAGACAGTCTGTAGAAGAGTGGCCGGCCGTCGTATTTGACGTTATAAAGGACCATGCCTTCACGCTGGTTGAAGCCTGGTCAAAGTGTTAGTTGCCTCGTCGTGTATTGGAGCCAAAAGCATCCGCTCACCGATGAAGAAAGTCCACTTCTGCCACTCGATAACATGTCCAGTTTCACCAACAAGGGTAACCTTGAAGCTGGGTCCCTCAGGTTGGCTTATCTGCAGAGGCTTGAGGTCCTTGCGCAGGTCCTGGCTCTCTGGGATGTACTCGTTTGGAGGTTTGGGCTGGTATGGACTGACGGGCTTGATGGTATTGTCGGCGCCGGTGGGCATGACGTCGATGCGGATCAACTTGTACTCAGTGCACTCGATCACGGGCGAGATGGGAAGGGGGAATGCGTAGTGGTTTGAGTCGGCCTCAGAGGAGTTGTTTGGATCTCTCATGTAGAGAAATACCTGATACAGGCGCTGCTCGTCTCCAATACCGTCAGTTCCTGCGTGAGATTAGCCTTCCGATCGTTTCGCCTGAAAGTTCCGCCTCATATTTACCGTAGATCCAAGGGTCTGCGCAAACAACGGTGCCCTCGGGCAACTCGAGCTTTTTGATCTCAGCCAAGACGGCCGGGTCTTCAAGCGCGATCTTTTCGACCATCTGGGCTTCATCGTAGTCGACATTGCCATGAAGATTGGCACCGAGCTTCACGTTGCTTTCGACCTTTGCAGTGGTAAGGTTGACAATAGCTTCATGGAAGAGTTCCTGGTTCGGTCAGTTCTGACATTCTCCGTATGAGAAATTGAAGCTCCGTTGCATCTCTTACTGTTTTGCGAATATAGTACGCAGCAAAGACGCGGCGATCGGGAGGTGACGGAGACAACCCCTTCTCTTGGGCCATGAGATAAGGAACTAATTCTTGCTTCGCAGGCTCATTGAGAGTAATGGCCTTGAATTGCAGAGCGACGGAGGCCGGCCACGCAGCTTGAATCAACTTCGCAGCGTACTGAATTTCTGCACCCGTCAAAGGGCAAAGTGGATGAGGGATTGAAGACATGGCTGAGAGATGCGGGGGTTGAGATGATGACCAGAGATGCGACCAAGAAGGGTGATGTTGGATGGCGGCGATACGGTATTTATCAGCCCCATAGCATTATCGGGCTTTGTAGCTGGCCTCAAAAAGACCCGGAAAGCATCCCGGGTCGGCCCCAGCCTGCATCAAAGTCAGTCTCTTGCAGATTATCCACAATTCGGCGTTGGCACGAGCTTGGCGAAGACCCTCCATCCCGGCTTTTACATGTGTGACCCGCACTTCCTTACATAGACAAGTGTGCTGCAAGATAAACAAATTTCTTTGACAAAATTTTGTCTATAGAAGGTAAAGATGCAGACATATCAGGAAATAACACAATGAGTATCATTAAAGTCGAACGATAAGGCGTTGGTATTATAAGTCTTGAGTCTAGACGAATAGCCAGGTCTCCTCCAATTGCCAGACATATTTCAGCCAAGAGCTGCTAGATTCATCCCCCGCTTCTCGAGCCCAGATTCTCTCGAGAATTTCAGCAGCATTCTTGACATTGTAACAACATGAAGACACCCAAATACGTTGAAACACTGTGCGTGCCATTGTTTGGAGCTCGATATCTTGTGCCTCTGCGCCGAGGATGAAGGCCGGCCACACCAAGCTCTTGATATGGAAATCTTCGGCAGGAACAGCAAGGAGGTGGAGCATCGCAGGCCTCATTATTTCGACCACGTGGGGGTACGATAAGTAATGTTGGCCAGGAGGCGCGCCGATGATGTGTGATGCGTATACCTCAACCCCCGCTTTGTAAGCATGGGCAAGATGAGAGCGGGACTCGTGGAACTGGATATCTGGAAAATCTTGAGCCCACGCCAATGGCGAGAAATTGAGCAAGGCTTGGACTAGATCTGATAAGGCTTGTCGTCTTTCCACGTTCATATGATGCAGCGAGCGCATGGAATTGATACCAGATAAGACGTAGAGCAGCTCTGCAGGACAACCGACCCACGTTTGGTTTTCGGAATTCCGAAGGTTCTGGAGAAAGAGCGGATCCAGTATGGGAAATTGATTGGTGGGGGGGCTCAAGGCCGGTGCAAGAGTAGCCCCCAAGATCCCAAAGCTGCCTCGCTAATCAGTAACCGACAAGACAAGAGGATTAAGGAGGAAGAACATACGTCGTGCATGCCGTGTCAAAATATCTCAACCACGGCGCGGCTTCGTTATCCTCGCTAATGTCAGATAATCTCCGGCTCTGTACCATCTCTTGAGCACCCCGGAGATGGTGATTCCAGCCATGGCTTCCGAATTCCACAACATCCATGCAAACGAAGAGAATAACTGCTGCTACGACTGCGTCACTGTTCCTTGTGGGATCATCCTGAACCTCCTGTTTAAGCCAATGCAAGGCGTTTTGTTTGTGCAACAATGCCGTCTGTAGTGATTCTCGAAAGCTGGGTTGACCCATTTGCCAACTATGATCCTGCCAGAGATACCATGACCCGGGATGCTCAGACTTATGCGATAAAAGGCTCCCGGACGGCATTTGCCCGTGGCTGATGACCATTCGATGGGTGCAGTGAAATGCAGAGATTGAAATGACAGCGTGTAAGAAGGCTCGGCTTTTCGATATCAAGGGCATCAAAGCCAAGAAAGGGTTGGTTGATGGTCGATCATAGACCACAGATTCTCTGGAAAGATCCAGATCGACTGGTGCATTGAATGGTGTGAGAAGGTAGGGCAAGGATACGGATTGGAAAGAACTCACAGTAACGAATGTACTTCCTGCATTCTGGGGACAGGTCTTGCATGTCCGGCTCTAAGAGAGACCAAGGAATAGCCGAAGATGATGGGCCAGTCTCCGAACCTGACTCCATGAGCTCGTCTTCATCCGGCGACCGCCAAGACACCCCTGATAAACCTCCATCTACTGGAGTGAAAGTGGTCTTGCCCATAAGCTTGCCCCTGCTAGCCATGCTATGAGTCCACACCAGCCTTTTTGGTCGCCCATACCCCTCACATCGGAGCTTCAGGGAGGAGCAGCGCAGGCACGCGGGCAAGCGTCTGTCACACTTGACCCGCTTTTGGCGGCAGGTGCGGCACGAGTTCGAAGCGAAGAATGCATCTTGCATGGCTTTCAAGACATGCTTGGCTCCCTACGCAGTGGGTGGCTGGCGGCCGGTCTGATGTTTACGGCTGATGTTCGTGGGAGGTCGTGGAGACGTGGGAAGTGAATTGTTAGGCGGGGCCCTTCTTAACACCGGGAGATCGGGACGGTGGCAGATTGTGCGATATACACTAAACCTATTTTGGCAGCCAAGACGCGATCCCTGTCAGTATCCCCAGATTTCGCCCTTATCTCAACCCCTGACTCGACCCGCCGGCATCGGTGCCGGAAGAGAGGCTTCATATGCTTGAAGGGCTTGCGCAAGCTGGTTGAAAGTCTGGGTCATGTCTCGACGATAGCTCTTCTGACGAGCTTTATGGCACCGATGTGCTAATATCTAAGAGTCTCAAGCTTCGAGAATCCCTGACTGTTCTTCGATCACGTTATCAAACTCGAGTATGAGCAATGTATTCTGCCTGCGAGTTATTGGCCGTGATAAATGTGACACTTCCCGGTTGTCCGTGACTCTGAAATTTCGAAAGGCGTCCATGCTTTAATTCGTGGCTTTTACAGCTTGTTACCCGTTAGATTTCCAAAATGACCCTCCATCACCGAGCAGTAGACGATTCTGTAATACCATCCCCACTTCCCCAATCGGTTGGATATGGAGTTGTTGTGGCTTTGGGCCTCTTGTTTGCATTTGGTAAGTTTTCACAACATATCTTAAATGGTGTTTCTCGAAATGAAACTGACGAGGCTTAAACGACTAGGCATGATGGGTGTAACGGCTATCTTGAAAAAGACTCTACGCGAAGACAACTCCAAGGCTGAAACGTAATTTGATAACAAGAATGTGAGACAAGTACATACCTAATAGTATTTTGCAGATTCATGGTTGCAGACCGAAGTGTGAGAACAGGTCTCGTCGCATCAGCGGTGGTTTCGGTCAGTTCCTCTACAGCGCTGCAACCCTAACAGTCAGTCAGAATAGAATGAACTGGGAATGAGCTAACAGACTTATAGTCATGGCTCTGGAGCACAGCCCTTTTGAGTTGTGTGCTTGTAACTTATAGCTATGGCATAAGCGGTGCCTTTTGGTACGGTGGAGGTTGTTCGACGGTGATCGTGTTCTTCGGCTATCTTGGAGTTGTTTGCAAGAGTCGAATCCCAGAGGCACACACAGTTCTGGAGGTTATTCGTATTCGATACGGTACCTGATTTCCTGAAAACATTTTTCTTGTTACCAGTTGAGTTACTGATTGTGTGTATAGGTACCGTTGCGCACCTGAGTTTTACTTTCCTCGCCATCGTGAACAACCTTCTCAACACCATCAACATGATACTTGGCGCTTCTGCTGCTATATCGTTTCTGTACGTACGTACCTTGCATAACACGATATGATTTCTCATACATTCCGGTATGATCTAACAAAAGAAAGCACGGGAATTCACATCATGGCGTCAACATTTCTACTGCCTCTTGGAGTTGTCCTTTACACCCTTGTGGGTGGTATCAAAGCCACGTGAGTCCATCAGGTTGGTAATTGTAATCCCGGGCTTTGATTGCTGAATATTTTAGATTTCTCACCGATTACATCCATACTTTCATCATTCTCATCTTATGTTGCTGGCTCACAGCTAAAGTCATCACATGCGAAGCTATCGGGTCCATTGGGAGGCTGTATGACATGGTCGTTGCAGCTGAAGAGCAGCATTTTGTGGAAGGAAACTACAGAGGCTCTCTTCTCACACTGACTTCGCAACAGGGTATCTTTTTCGCCATAATCCTCCTGGTTTCTAATTTTGGAGCTGTTATTGTGAGTGTAATACGATTGCCCTCAAGATGTATGCTAACAGTAAGTGGCAGATGGACACAGGATACTTCCTGAAGGCTTTCGCAGCTTCTCCAAAAGCCGTAGTTCCCGGTTATGTTCTTGGGGGGATATCTTATTTCAGCATACCGTGGTGTTTGGGAACTGTTGTTGGAATGGCGTCACTGGGACTCGAAGCCTTGCCCGTCTTCCCAACGTATCCAAGAGTAAGTCTTCAATATTGAAGCAATGACAAGGCCGTCCGGGGCTGATCATCTCCCAGCCTATGACGACCTCTGAGGTTACGAACGGACTAGCTTTGCCATATGTGGCCGTCGCTGTGGCAGGTAAAGGTGGCGCAGTTGCTGTACTCTTGATGACTTTCATGGCTGTGACATCCACACTCTCCGCCCAAATCCTTGCTGTATCCTCCATCTTAACCTTCGACATTTACCGAGTATACTTCAACAAAAAAGCAGGAAACAAGGAGGTAATTCGCTGGGGTCACCTCGGAGTTGTTCTGTTTGGCGTGGTATCTGCCGGGTTCACTGCAATGTTTCACTACATTGGGGTTGATATGGGTTGGACTCTGTACATGCTTGGTAAGTGTTTCAACCCGTGATATACAGTCTTCAAGTTGAAGTCCTGACTTGGATTCTACAGGCGTGCTCACATGTCCTGGTGTAATTCCAATGATATTCACAATCACTTGGCGCAAACAAAGTACAGTAGCTATAGTTACTTCGGCCTTCCTAGGCATGGCCACAGGTCTTGGGGTCTGGCTTGGTTCCGCCTATGCCTTTTCCGGAGAGGTGTCAATCTCATCAACCGGAGGCACGCTCGCTTGCATGTACGGCACGGTAGCATCGCTTTTCAGCCCGATGGTGTACAGCATATGTATTTCACTCATCAAGCCAGACAGCTACGACTGGGATGACTTCAAGGAAGAGACGCTGGCCATTAACTCCGAAGACAGCCCCATACAGGATATCACGACTCAGCAGAGAAAATCTCCAGAAAGCACGAGCATTCCGATCTCTGACAGCAGGGTTCATAAACGATGGGCTAGATATGCCTTGTGGTGGGCGATTATTACATTTCTTGGTCACTGGGTGTTGTGGCCCTTGCCAATGTACGCCGCGAAATACATTTTCGGTAAAGAGGTGCGTATTGGGTACTTGTGAGAGACGAAGTGTTTCACTGGGTATGAATTTCCACTGACTGTGTCTACTTTTGAAGTTCTTCATAGCATGGGTCGTAGTGTCTCTTATCTGGTTGTGGTGGACCTTACTCATGGTGGGAATCTACCCTATATGGGACGGCCGGCGGCAGATTGGGACGGTGCTCACCGGTCTTTGGAACCTGAAAAGATTATAGACAACGTCCAATCATACCGAAGCGCGGTTCTTGCTCTTCAATTTCTGCCCGCGCCCGTGTCAGGGAGTTCCAGGCGAAGAGCGAATGACTTCGGCGTTGTCATTGCAGTCTTTGGAGTTCGAGGGCTGCAACACGGTTTACCTCGATAGACTCCGGTCCGGAGAACAAGTGAGGAATACCGGTTTAGTATGGTCGCTCAAGTCATCATAGTCATCATGGAAGATTACTTATGCCACACTTGAGTTTGTCGCTGAAGCCTGGAGGACCCAGCTCCGCATGTCGGCTTCGTCGGGCCGGCCTACATCCACTCCGCGCTCCCCCGCATTCAATTCAAAAGGAGGTTAGAGAGCCAACTCGAAAAGATCATCTAACAATAACAACTTGCTTTTCAACCAAGGCTCAAATGTCACTGCTTGACGCTTAGTTTGGTTACATTGCTGCGTCACCAACCAGGTGTTCTTTATTCTCTTAACCACGGTAGTTTGAAAACACCGCCCGCAATGCCTACGGATACCACAAGAATGACGTCTTTCTGGATCAGTACGGAAGATTGGCATACAGCCGGGGAACCCTTTCGCATTGTCGATAAGCTCCCGTCCGGCTACCTGCCCGAAGATCGCACCGTCGCCGAGAAGCGGTTTTCCATCATGAAAGATCCCGAACATCCGCTAAATACATTGCGTCAATCTCTCTGTCATGAGCCACGTGGCCATGCAGATATGTACGGCGGTTTTATAACGCCGCCGAACGACAGTGGCGCTCATTTCGGTGTCTTGTTCTGGCACAAGGATGGCTTCTCCACTGCTTGTGGCCATGGAACCATTGCATTGGGCTTTTGGGCCATTGCCAATGGTATTGTCAAGGCTACCGAAGAAGATGGCTCAGTACAAGTTGTCATAGATGTTCCTTCGGGGCGGGTCACCGCCAGTGTTGCTATTCAGCAGGGCAAACCCGTTCATGCTGACTTCGTCAATGTCCTGAGCTATCAGTTTGCCAAAAACCTGCCCGTCGACATTCCTTCTCAGGGAAAACCCATTACCGTCGATCTTGCGTTCTCTGGAGCTGTATACGCGACCTTGGATGCAGCTCAACTTCACCTTGATGTTGAACCGAATCAATGCAACGACTTCATCAAACTTGGGCGTGAGATCAAATCCGCAATCGGTCAAAGAGCCAACCACGGGGTGTACGAATTGTACGGGGTCATCTTCTACAACGAAAACGCCGACGTTGAAGATGATGCCGATGGAGTGAAGCAGAGAAATGTGACCGTTTTTGCCGATGGGCAGATTGATAGATCTCCCTGCGGGTCTGGTACTGGCGCAAGACTTGCTGTGCTTCTAGCTCAAGGAAGACTTGGCGCTGGTCGGTCAAAGCTTGTTCATCGGTCCATTATTTCCACACAATTTGAGGGGAGCATTCTTTCAGAAGAGGTTAGCCCGGTCAAGGACTTCCCAGCTTGCATTCCCCGGATCAGGGGGTCTGCTAATCTGGTTGGTCGCATGAGCTTTCACATAGACCCTGCGGATCTAATCTTCCCTGGATTTCTTCTTAGATAATATAGATGAATATAACGTCCCACACCTACTTCTCAGCTACCCCCACATTTCAGCTACCCTAAAATACCTTATTAAAAATACTTACTACTATTTTTAAATTTAAATAACTTTACTAATCTTTACTTAATTATTATTATTCTTTCTATAAAGTATAATAATTACTAAATATATTAATATATAGAAAATAAAATTTCTTAAGTATTTAAAACTATTATAGTTAGTATTAGTTTATAAAAAGTTTTATTATAATATAATATTTTTAAAATAATACTTTAATTTTAAATTTATAGTATTTAAATAAGAAATATTATTTTTTCTAATTTATAAAAGTTTTCTCTAATTTAGAAAAACTACTTAGCTAAATAGGTTTAGATTTAAGCTACTTTAAGCTTATTTCTAACTTATTAATAATTTAAGGATTTTACTAAATATATTTTATAAATTTATAGAGATTTTTAGCTTTTTAAAAAAAATTAAATATAGTTTTTTATTAAGAAAAATTTATTTATAAAAGTTTAAAAAAATAAAATAATTAATTCTTAGTATATTAATAGAACTTTAATTAATATAATTAAATAATAGTTTAAATATTTTATTATACTTAAAATTATAGCTATTAAGATTTCTAATTAATATAATATAAATAAGATTAATATCTTAGAAAATAGAGGATTAAATAAGCTTATTTTTAGATTATTAAAAACTTATTCTATTTATAAGAAATAGCTTAAATTATATACTTAGATATCTCTAATTAAATATATCTCTATAATTAATAAAGTATTACTTCTATTTATTATATATAAAAGTAAGAATATTTAGTAGTAATATTTTTTTTAGATCTAATACTATATAAATCTTAGAAGTTTATAACTATAGAAAATAAATAAACTTTAGACTTTATAGCTATTAAGTAGTTAATAGAGGTCTTTATTTTTTTAATTTAGCTAGAAGATCTCTTAGAAATTAAATTATTAATTTTAGATAGTTATAAAAACTATAAAACTACTACTTTTATATATATATACTTTAAGAATAAGATATATTTATTATTCTTATTAGTATATATATTATATATTTTTTAGCTATTTAATTAGTTAGTTTTTAAATTTCTTAAAATAATATATAAAAAGAGCTTAGATTACTAACTAAATAAGATATTAATATAGTTATAAATAAGAGAAATTTTATTATATATTATAATAAAGTATATAAAATAACTTTAATAAATAAGAATATTATTAATAGCTAGAAATAGATTAATTTATAGCTTATTAGTATAACTAAACTTCTTATAAATCCTTTAATACTTAAGAATATTTTAACTCCTATTAAATTAACTAGTTAAGTTTATAAAGAACTTTTTAATAATAAGGAAAATAAAAAATAAGTAGTAAATATATTAGTAATTTCTTAGTTAACTTTTAAAAAAAAAGATAAGTTTTAGGATTAGTTTAACTTATTTAGTAAGTTAAATAATAATAAGTATATAGTATTTACTTTTTTAAAAGGTTTAAAAAAGCTTTAATAAAAAAGTATACTAATTAGTAGTAGCTTAGTAAAAAATTAAAGTATTATAAATAGAGGTTAATATTAGTAGAGTTAAGAAATAGAAGAAAGTTAAAATAAGTTTAAATTTAAAGTTTATTAATATTAAAGCTATTTAGAAAGTTTAAATTAAAGTAAATAAACTTAAAAGTAGTATAAATAAGTTTAGTAAATCTAAAAACCCTAATAATAGTAAAAGTTATATTATTATAGTATTATAATATATATAAATATTAGTTAAAGTTAATATATATAAATATAAGGGTATTAAAAGTGGGTAGCTAAAATGTAGGGGTAGCTGAGAAGTAGGTGTAGGACGTTAGTCAGTGTTTTTTGGCTACTTATATGTGGCGCGTATCTTTAGGCTTTTGTAGGTAGCACGCAGCGACGAGTTATGCTTTTGGGCTATATAGTCACAATTATGCATCTTTTGTCTTTCTTAAACCGAGACGGGATGGCAGAGTATTGAACCCTTGTTGCCTCCCAGTTCGAACCTAGCTAATTGGAAATAAGCTACCAGGACATTCATTTACCCAAGCGTTGCGGAGTCTCCGCTCCCGGGCTTCTCCTATGGTCCGGGATGTGCTAGGAATGGAGCCCGATAGAAGTCATGGAGCCCGAACGGAGGTGGAGTCTACGATGGAAAGATGTAGTTCATTGGTCACGATATGATACTTGGCGTGAGGGCTCCTGGAGACCTATCGCCCGAATGAGTTTATTCAGCCTCCCTCAAATTAAAATATCGCCATTGAGACGGGGCCCTCTTGATATCCTGGCTGGCGAGCTGACCCCTTCAGCCTTTTTGACCTTGCCAACTAAGCCAAACAGAGTATGCCCACATTGCCGAGTCCGTCTTCGCACCTCAACGCCCACTCCCCGACGTTTCCAGTCGTTTTTCTCATACGATGATGGGTCGTAGGCAGCAACGATTTGGACAACATATACAATGAAGTTAGCCTCTCAGTAATTACATCTTCCAAATTCTTTCATCTGCATCGCAAAGTACACGCCCACCCTGTGCTTTCACAATTTCTCGAAAAAAATCAACTTGAACGACGGGCTCCTTTTCAATCACTCCCTCAACTTCCAACATGGCCCCAGCTTGGCTTGAGAAATACATAGTCCGCGTGGACGCAACTCCAGACCCACGACGCAACAACGAGCGGCCAGTTTTGGAGCTGAATTACACCGCTCTTGTGGGTCATCGTCGAATCGTGGGCGTGAATGGCGATACAGTACCACGTTACGAAGTCAAACGGCGGGCCAAACTCGGGGCCTGGGGAGACAAATGCGACGTCACGTCACCAGTGGATGGAAACCGCGAGGTGGCCACGTTTGATTTTCATTCCTTGCCTCTCTCGACTGAAATACAGTTCGCCCAGGACAACCGAAAAGTCACCATTAAGGCAACTGAGGGGCAATTCGAGCCTAGGAGCGACCTTCCTCGTCTACACTGGAAAGCAACGGGGATGGTTGTGTACGGCAAAGCCTCGTGGGAGCTCAGAGACGATTCAAATCTCGTAATGTCGGTCACCATTGACGATCGTCAAGTGAACGGGGTAATCAGTCTTTGGAGGAGTCAACTTGAACCTGCAACGGTAGAAGAACTCGTGGTCGTAGGAATTTCCAAGATTGAGAACTACAGGAGAATGCTGAGGACCTCTAAGACAGCTTCTGTTCAAGTCGCTGCGAGTGCAACATGGTTGGCGGCGTCCTGATTTTGAAGTTAGATTTTGGCTAGCAAGAGCGGCAGACGAAACCAATAACATCAAAAAGACTTGATTGACACCCATGGAAATCTTGGAAAGTGCTTAACTTATCGGTGAAATATCATGGCATAGAAAATGAAAGAACATGTCTTCACGACTACAATGAAAATCTTAGTTCATATGGTTGCAATGTTGTTCGATCCGAATCAATCTCGAAAGGGCTCACTTCAGTTACTTGATACAACCGCAAACCAGAGCAGATGGGATTTTCCCACAGATGTTCACCAATGAAGTCGCATGATTAGACGAGATATCTTCTTTGTCAAACGAGCTTTGTGTTTCGAACCAAACAATCAAGGATTCAAGGGAGATCAAGTATTCAAGGGATATCAGGTCACTGTCATTGACACACATGTCGGACCCAAACATCGGTTGGTGGAGCCGAGTCTCGGTATGTGGGGCCGATTCTCGGTGCACCACAGACGTATGAGAGTGAGTCGGATGCGGGGAACCGTTGCCGAACACTGATGAAGATTGAAGATTGCATTTTGTGAAGAATTCTTTTGTGAATTTTTGTATGACCAAGGATACATGAGAGGTCCCCCTTACTCTAACCACCCCCTATATATCTAACCGCCCCTATTAACTACTACCACGCTATGGCGATCGTGTACGTGTCCTCGAGTTCCTTTAATAGGGCGCTGTGCTTCGATAATGCGAGACGCTCGATTTGATCAACGTCGTATGGCTTGTTCGTCTTGAAGTTTGTTTCGATATGCTTTCGAGGCGGCGATGGATGGTGTCGACGTAGTATGGTGACGACATCTTGATGTTGAAGGAGTAATGGGTTGTGGTAGCGTGAAGAGGGAGATGCCTGCCCCCTGGCGATTCGCGCTCTCTTCATATACCCCTATAGGTGGCTATAGAGGTTTCTCTGTGAGCTATCCTAGCCCTCGATTATTTCCCCGTGAGAGTTATACGGCAGTTAATAAGGTGCGCCTCCAGGCGGCAAACTGCGAAGAAGAAAACTTAGAAGGGAAGAAAGACTGATGAAGATTGTTATTAACATCATGTCAACCTCTTTTAGAGACAACGAGCGATCTAGTCGCAGGTGCAACCGAGCGTACGTCGTACCCTGGAGAATAATGTTGTGTCAAAAAGGCTTAATGCGTCGAGCAGATGTGCTCGCTGCCGTGATATGAAAGTCCGATGCTCGGGCACGGTCCCATGTACGCGATGTGAAAAGAAGAAGGAAAGTTGTTACTTCAGACCAGAGGAGACTCGTATCACAGTATCTGAAAGGTATGATTCACATCTACACTGCTTGCACTATCACGTGTAACATGATCAGCTCACTTAAGATGATAGTTATCTGAGAGCCCTAGAGACTCGTACGGGTCGGCCGAGAGAAAGTCTTCGGCACTCAGCACGAGGGCTGTCAGTACGACGTCCCGGTGACCTCTTCCAAGCTTCTGTCCTATCTCCACCCCAGTCGACAGATAGCTCTGGTCAGTTGGACGGACAACCTACTCAAAACTATGGCTATATCGGGGGAAGCGCTAGAGATCATGATCATGCGAATCCGGGTAAGCGCTGTTCGGTTATTTAGCACAAGGGTTCAACATGCTGACATTTTGTTATTGGATAGAAGATGCGAGACTTTTATATCGGGATGAACAACCATTAGAAAATGGTCCCACCTCTGTACGACCATCTGCAAATGAATTCGAGACAAACCCACTGGTGAACGACGGGGAGAGCTTCGCTCTTGACTCGTATGGAAAATACTGTAGGTTACTGCTATTGGTGTACTCTCTTCTATTTACCTCGACCTTTGTCTTTTCAAGCTTACACATAGCCAGGGTTTATGGGTCCAACATCATCATGGGCCTTTTGCAGACGCGTACTGGCAGCGATTGGCAGTCATACGCCTGATCCGGAACCGCCACTCCGTCCTTGGGACCTCGAAACTTTGAATCTCACATGGAATCCAATTGGTCTCAATGAGCAACCTGATATTGAAAGCCTACCGTCATATGAGTATGTCGTGTTCAATTTGGCTGCCGTCAAATACCACCTAGGTCCATTCTCCGAGATTATCGATTATGATGAGTTTGATCAGCGCCTTAAGCAGTTTTACGAGAGCCCAGCCACTGAAGCTAAGCACGCAAGGTACTGGTACAGCCAACTACTATTTGTGTTGGCATTCGGAGAAGCCTTCAATTCAACAGGGACATCCAAGTCTGTACCTGGCGTGGGCTATGCTTCTCGCGCCTTATCACTCCTCCCGACTATGATACCCATGGAGAAAGAGCCTCTGAGGGCTGCCGAAGCCTTATGTTTGGGCGCACTCTATCTTCAAGCGTTGGATTTAAGACTGATGTCGTTCCAGCTCGTAAGTAGATGGTTCCTGAATGTGGTTTTGCATGATCCTAAGCTAGATACCTTAGATAGGCCAAGCTCTGCGAATTTGTGTCCTCGATGGCATGCACAGACATATGCCGCCCCAACAAGTAGAGCCACGACACGCACAACGATGCAACACCGTTTTCTGGTCTGCGTACATTATTGATCGAGAATTTTCCACTTTGGTTGGAGCTCCTAGCTCTATCAGAGATGAAGATATCACAACCAAACTTCCTACGGAAATCGCCAACACTGCAGGTGCTGCTGCTTTAGAGCTTCACATCCAGCTTTCTCGTCTCACAGCTAGAATATTAAATGGTAAGACCCAGATATCTATCGAGGTTGCCTAGGTTTGGCACAGCAAACTTACTAGAATTTTGCAGGGGTATATGGGGTAGATCGGAACTTTGATGGAAGCCTTGTCACAGAAACCCAGTCTGTTTTGCGTCTACTTGCCATGGTTTCGATAAATCTGAGCTCTTACATGAGCACAACACTTCGTGGTGCTGATGTGAAGACGTCAAAAGTCGCGACCCGTTTAGTCCTGTCGTATCACCATGTAAGTCTGCTGCTCATTTGTTGACTTCGTTTGGAACTGATAATGTGAACGGTAGTGTGTTGTCCTCACAACTCGTCCTTTGGTGATGTGTGTACTTCAAAAGAGGCTAGCAACTGGGAGTAATGACAAGTCCATACCGGATGGACCCATCAGTTCCTTACTCCAAACCTGTGTAGCCTCCGCGGTCAACACTCTCAAGCCATCGAAGGCACTTGGAGACGACAACTTACTAGGTACGTTTTTTCCCTCTTACGTCGTATCATAATCTCAACGTCCACGGGTATAGTGTACTGACATTGCAGACTGCTTTCTACCATTCCAACTCGAGGCCGCCTGGTCATCCGCATATCTTCTCAAGGTACTCGAAGTATTGTCATCAGGCCTGGTTCCTGATCAATCATACCTGGCAGAAGCACATTACATATTCGACATCATGAATCAGAGAGGGAGTCCTGCGGCAAAGCTGCGTAAATGCGACTTTGAACGACTTGAACAGCTTGTGTCGTCTTTTCTCGGTACACCATCTCAAGGGAACAATGAATATCCAGAAGAACACTTGTCCTCACAAGAGAATTCCTCCGAACAAGCAAATGCGGAGGGTTCTCACAATATCGATCCTGTTGAATCACTACAATGGGATCTCTTCGACAAGGAAAGCGGCTTCGCTCTATCCCCGACGGAACTCATGGACCTGGCTGAAAGCTTGCACATGGAAGACTTCTTTGTCGCCAGGCAAGAAGAAGATGATTGAACACATTGGGCAGTCTGCAACGTCAGGACTCATATGTCGTTCGTACTTGGGAAACCTCGGCTGCTCACCTTTGCAGAACTTGAGGCCGCATCTGCGCCTCTACCACGAAGCATTGAAATCGAATCAGTAATCTAAATCTAGGAGAGCTTCGCCGTTCACAGCAATAATACCGAGGACCGATATTCTGATCAATTCAAATAGACGTCTGCGGATGCCGTCCATCTCAACCTGACCTCGGCCCAGAGTCTAATGCCCTTCTGGTAGAGGTCGCAAAGACTCGTAAGCGGATATCACGCCCCTTCAAGTACCGTTCCGACGCGTCCGAAACGCCACAAATGGCATCAGAATGGCGTCCGGGAGCGGGATGAATCCGAGTTGCGGGGCTGGAGTAGTCCGGTGTGTGGGGCCGTGGCATCCCGCCTTTCGCCTCCGTTGGCCTGAAATCACTCCGAGGTCTCAACAAATAGGTCCAGCAGAGCATGGAAATCATCTGCAGACCCACAAAGAGCCGAAAAGCATGGTGTACAATGCTTGGTAAATACACCCAGACCTCGGCTCAATTACCTTTTACATCTTTTCTCAACATCGCAACTACACGGGGTGTTGTAATTTCTGCGAAGCGAAGTTTGCATATGATGTTTTCGCTCCTAGACAACAGAGTATTTAGTGCATTGAAAAGGACCAAAATGATTTCCACAGCCTGCATTTCACAGGAGCAAAGCAGTACTTGAACATGCTTTTCTCAACGTCTTTCAGTAACGCCTCGCAAGTTGCCTGGAGCAACATCTCCTTGCCGGCCGCCGTCGCCGTAATTGGATATCTGTTGTTAGTTCGGACCTTGAGATATCAACGAAAAAATGCCATAGAGACACCGTTCACTTCTGGGGGAAGGCCCTTGTCAAGCATGACTATCGAGGAGGCTCAAAGCATTATGAATCAGTTGCAGGAGCTCGAGTTCCCCCGGTCCATGGCAAAGGCTCGCCAGATTTCCCTCCTGAAGGTAAGTGATTTGTCGGCAGAACTTCCCCAAGGGCCAGTATGAGAACTGACGCTTCGAATCGACATCTTCAGGCTGGTGCTATCCCAACTATGTCTAAGCTCTTCTTAGCGACAGGCCAGAACAGCAGGCGTAACGCTGGGAGACGAGCGGTCGACACAGAAATACTTCTTAGGGAGGCACAGTCAAAGTCTAGGGATTCAGATCGATATGCTACCGCAGTTGCAAGAATGAATTATCTGTAAGGAGCTTGTCCGGGAGCTTTCACGGTGTTGCTAATAATAGCAATTAATACCCTAGACACGACCGTTACCGCCGAGCAAACAAAATCACAGACAACGACTTACTTCATACACTTGGCGACAGTCTTATTTCCATCTTTGAGGTCGTCGACAAGGACGAATGGCGCAAGTTGACAGACGCCGAGAAGTGTGCCGCTGGAGTTTTTCACAAAATCTTGGGTGACGACATGAAAATTCCATACGATGTGCTGCCCTCGCATAACGAAGGTTGGAGGGACGGCTTGCATTTTGCCAACGAATTGACCGAATGGGTCGTTCAGTACGAAAATGAAGTAGCCCGGCCCTCGGAAGCCACTAACCACTACGTGAGCGTCTACGTCGATGCAGCCGTGTCTGCTCTGCCCGACTTCGTACGAATCACTTTGCGAAAGACACTGGCTGCTGACCTGAACGATATCATGGTGCAAAGTCTCAAGTATGTTGAAGGATTCAACGGCTTCTGGTTTCAAAATAACTAATGCGATTTCCTTCACGACAGTCTCGAGTCTCCTGGCACCATTCTCTCAGCAGCGCTTCTCGCTTACCGCAATGTACGAAAGCTCTACCTTAGACACCTTTCTCTCCCTCGTCCAACATCCTCGGCGTCAGGCTGGTTGACGACGCTGTCAACCCTCAGAGCAAGCTCTACAATTTTCAACGAAAGGTTCTGCAGCCGTGGTACATGAAACCTACCTTTTGGTCCACGTGGGGACCTGCCGCATTGCTCTTGCGGTCACTGGGCGCCAAAGCACCTGGCTCGCAGGGAGACCGATACTATCCTCAAGGATATGATCTGATGACGATCGGACCAGAACCGCAGAAGGGAAAGGGGATCGACGAAATGACTTCAGACATCGAGACTATCAAAGGCAGAGGAGTTGCGACTTGCCCATTCTCACATGCAAAGGCAGGATACATCTAGGTGGGGATTGAAAGAGCCGGCACTGAGAGATCCTGTCTGTGCGATGTTAGGTGCGATCTTCTCATCCATGCCCTGGTTATCATGTTCTTATTGTCCTTTCAATCGGTTGTGAATTTGAACATGGGTTTGGGGGCGCAGATGGTTGTAGAGGCCCATGATTTGTACACGTATATGCAAAGTCAGATAGGTCAGGTGTTCCCGCCACAATCATTGAAGATCTGGAACCTCGCGAAAGCCGAAGCACGAACCGGTGTTCCGTCAAATGCCGGGAGATCCACACCGAGGTCGCCCCTCTCCGCCCGAGTTGCAGGATTCAGATCGGAGAAAATCCCACGCTATGATTTTAGCTAGCAAAACCCTGCACAGTTCGCATTGACCCCTGGCGAGGTGCATTTAAGGGTCTAAAGACGCAAACTGCCACGGGAACTGTAAGCGCGCCTTCGAACCACGGATTCTTTCATCTAATCTCTGGCTTCTGGGGAGAGATTGAGCATATTCATCAGTTGGTCATCGATTCAACTAGTAATTCAATGAAAGCCCACAGCAAGTCAGGCACAGCCTAGGACCAAGACCTGCCTGCCGGCTTCTCCCTCCAATGACCACGTTTCGTGCACGTAATGGGTCTCCGCTTGGTCCGCCTGGACGTAAAAGTTTTGATGGGCGACGCCTTTCGTTGACAGTGGCTAGCGGCGGTTTTTGCTCGGCTTTGCAGAGTGGAAAATTCTTGCATCCATCTGAATCTCAAATGGAGCCGCAGCGGCTCCATTCTTTACCTAAAAGCCCCTCGCTTGTGTTTCTGAATACAGTAAAGTGCCAAGAGGAACCGCCGAACGGGCCTTCTAGCGCGGCTCAAACATGCCATGGAAAGCTTCTTTTACGACATCAAAACATGGTGATGGCGCCCTCCGCAACACGCCCCCAGGTAACCGCGAGATTCAGGCCGAAGAACGACCATTCAGCACATTCGCAATTCAGTCTTTACGGGGTATTTCTTGTATAATGACACAAAACAATTAGATCTTTTTACTCCAAGATGCATTCCCCGTGTTGTAGGGGTTATCTCTTATCTCTGGGCGCCCATGGGGCGAGATCGTTCTGTGGAGGAAGACCCGACTGTTACCGGCCATGCGACTGACGACAACCTCTCCGGCCAAGGATACCGCCGGTCGGTCATCGCCCATGTGGATCCCAAAATCTTGACTCGCGCCTCTTGATCATCGTTTAAAAGACAGCAAACGTCAGACCGTTCGCGTCGAGTTGACCGCCCGGGTTCTCGCTCCTCCAGTGGTCTTACCCTCTCTTCTTTCCTCCTCTCTTGACTTCCCTCTTGAGTCCAGCCTTCGCCAAACTTTCCAAAGTGTTGGCAGTGACTGCAACGGCTCAACTCCTCCCATAATGACGGACGCTATTACCACCGCGACCGCTACCGGTCCCAACAGCAAGGACACCAAGAACGACAAGGTTGATGCCGAGCAAGTTCAGCCGCGCAACCCTTGGCCGGAGATGAACGACCAGACCATGCTCGGCGAAACCAGCGATGAACTGAACAACGACCGCCTCAAGAAGATTGCCGCCGAGGGTAGCGCTCATTTCCACCGTCTGGGCTGGAAGCGCCTGGCCATCGTCACCATCGTTGAGGCCGTTGCCCTCGGTGCCCTTAGTCTGCCTTCGGCCTATCATACTCTCGGAATGTTTCCGGGTGTTTTCCTCACCATCACCCTTGGCATGATCTCGATTTTCACCAGTTATCTCGTCGGGCAGGTCAAGCTGGCTCACCCGTACATCGCCAACTACGCGGATGCTGGAAGACTTCTTTTCGGCCGCTTCGGACGCATTGGATACGAGCTTTTTGGTGCTGCTCTTGTTCTTGAGCTTGTCATGGTTGTTGGTTCTCACGCTTTGACTGGAAGCATCGCGCTGGTTGACATCAACGGTGGCCATGTCTGCTCCATCGTCTTCTCCGCAGTTTCAGCTATCATCCTTCTCATTCTCGCCATTCCCCCGTCGTTCACTGAGGTCGCCATTCTGGGTTACATCGACTTCGTGTCTATCCTGGCGGCTATTGGCATTACCGTTATCGCTACTGGTATTCAGGCCAGCAACTCCGCAGGCGGCCTTTCCGGTGTCGAGTGGTCCGCCTGGCCTAAGGAGGGGATTTCCTTCTCCGAGGCCTTCGTCGCAGTGAGCAACATCATCTTTGCTTTCAGTTTCGCGATCGGCCAATTTTCCTTTATGGACGAGATGCATACGCCGACCGACTATATGAAATCCATCTGGGCGTCTGGATTCATTCAGATTGGTATTTACACTTTGACCGGCGCTCTATGCTACGCTTTCATCGGACCTACCGTGCAATCCCCAGCCCTACTCTCTGCTGGACCCCTTATTTCCAAGATTGCTTTTGGTGTCGCCATCCCGGTCATCTTCATCTCCGGCTCGATTAACTCGACTGTTGCCCTCCGATATCTTCACGGCCGTATGTACAAGAACTCTCACTTGCGCTACATCAACACCCCCATGGGCTGGGCTAGCTGGATTATCCTTGTGGTTATCTTCACTATCATCGCTTGGGTGATTGCTGAGGCTATTCCCATCTTTTCCGACCTGCTTTCTCTGGCTTCTGCTCTCTTCGTCTCCGGGTTCTCATTCTATATCCCGGCTATCATGTGGTTCGCACTGCTCTGCAAGGGCAAGTGGTACTCCCGTGAGAATATTCTCATCAGCGCTGGAAGCATCCTCGCTTTCATTATCGGTGCTGTCACCCTGGTTGCTGGTACCTACTCGACCATCGTGGATATTGTAAGTCAACGCGAAATTTCAAATTCCTCAAAAGGCATGCTAACGACGTATAGATTGATGAGACAACGACTGGCTCTGCTCACAAGCCTTTTGCTTGCAGATCTTCTTAACCTGTAACTAAGAATTATAGTTGTACATAATTATTAGAAGCCTCACGGGACTTCAAACATCTAAGATACCCTTGACTAAAGCCATGATGATTACGAACTCTCCGCAAGCCTGGCCTTAATGTACTGTGAACATGCGATTGGTCGAACATTCACGATGCTTAGTCACTTATTGCTCAACTAACAGTAATATTCCCTGAAAGTGAAGATTGCCTAAAGGACATACTTTGATGGCTTTAGAATGGAAAATGTGGGATACGCCAATTGGTGCCGTATTTCAAGTTCACTGCGATTTTTGATCGCTGAATGGAACGACACATTTATGGTGTCTTTCTGTACGTCAGCTGTGAGCATAATGCAAATGGCGATGGTGAGATGGAGGATGAACGACTACAGGATCAGTGATCTAGCCACACTATGAAACATTTGTAATAGATAGGTAAGAAATCAATACAGAAATAACACAAGCAAAGTTCTAATCTAATTACATGACGAGTTGTCTCACAGCTCCCCAGCTCCTCGGCACTGGAGCAAACCTCCATCTCTATGACCGTCCACAGCAGCTCACCTCCAACGATTCGTAATGTTGGCGCATTATTGAAAAGTTTGGACGATACAATGAGGAAATGTCTTAAATGTTGCACAAGAAAGAGGAAACATCGTCATTCATGGTGCTGAAAGAAGGGTGGCTACGAATGTCGTCAACCTTGCCAGTGGTGGCAATCTGGCCGCCACCGGTGCGGCATCCGGTGTCACTTTCATGTGTTAGTCATGATTATCTACAGCTGCCTGTTGCTAATTACTTACTTGTAAAAGATGCAGTTGTAACCATGGGCATCCAGCGAGCTGACCTTATCGTTCAGTCTTCCGATAGGAGAGACTGCAGGATGTTAGTTGGGAGCTCTCTTGAAAGATAGATGTAACACAAACCGCAGAAGCCAAAGTTGAAGTTGACCGTGTCGCAGTCAGCCATGCCCTTGTCGCTACAAAGAGTGACACTCTGGTTGATCTGTCTCTCCTCGACCTCCTTTGTCGAAGTCTCGACGGGGGCTGCGAACACAGCGGAGGAGGCAAGGAGAACAGCGATGATGGTCTTGGAGAACATTTTGGCGGTTTCTTTTGGAAATTTAAGTGGCAGAAGAGGCGAGGTTCTTCAAAATTTTGATGCAATGGTTGGGGGAGCTGAGTGAGGTAAAGATTGTTATGATAGTGGAAGACACTGAAGTGTGATGCTGATGAGAATAAGTAGAAGACTTTCCATCGTCGTGGAAGCCCGTCTTTTATAGGTTTGAGCGCCAAATGCACATTCGCATAGTCATGGATGCTTCAACGGACTTCTTCAATCCCCATCTCACTCGCTTTCGCGAAGGCGCAGTCCACCTTGATCGTCCGCGATACGAGGCCTCACAGGTCTGGCCTCATTGTCTTTTTTGCCTGATTATTGATCACCAAGATTACAAGATCCTAAACGAAGCTGAAGTTTTCATCACGAGTCACGACGAAAGACATGGTAAATATTTGAGGCTGGGCATTGATGGCTTGGCGGTTTTCCATCAGCCTCTCAATATGGCAAGTCTTCAGACAATCTACACCCATCTGACGATACTATTCGAGCTGATATAAGGGTGTTCGTCGCTACATGTCAGCCCGATTAGTATTTAGGTCAAGAGTAAACTTCGCAGGGGAAGGAGGCATCGTGACTCGCTGTCATACACTAAACCACATTAACGTTGATCGCCATAAATTAATCCCGGTTGGGCAATGCTCCGGGCGGGTTTGACATCTCCGGCTTTCTCGGGATGGCTGTCGATCTGTGCCCCACGGCCCGCAAATTGGCTCTTCGTTCTCGGATCCGTCCTGTTTGATACCGCCTCGGGCTTTGGAACCCGGGATATGTATTCGAACGACCTCAAGGTAGAGAAGGCCAAGTGCCAAGGGGTTTGCCAAGTTCACAGCACGAGGCATACATCAATGGCAGGCCAATAGATCAGGTGTTGGAGATTCTCAAGACATTTGCAGCTTGAATTCCATAAATATCACGGATATTTTCCATCAATTGTGCCCATTTTCATCCAGCTCATCATCCCAAAGAATTTCATCAGCTCCTCTGGCCTTCCTATATCTTTCTCAAGCTCTCAGATACCTACAAAGTCACTAGTGAGAGTCTTAACTTAACCAAACAATAATCTCATCAACATGAAGTTCACCACCATCACCGCCGTGCTTCTCAGCAGCCTCCTGTCAACCACAGCGGCTCTTGATCCTGCTGTCAACGGCAACAGCTTCCATGAACGCAGAGTTCAGGAAATTGAAGATCGACAAGTCGCCGGAGCAATGGAGACTCAGAACTTGATTGAAGCCGAGAGCATTCTCAACTCGGCTCGCTCCTCTTCGGTCGGCAAAATCCGTGGACGCCGACTCCGTGAGGCTCAGGAGCGCCAGTGCTCCAAGCAGCCCGCCACCGAGTGTAACAAGTGCATGGACGCACTTGTGCAGACCGCAATTTTTGAGGTCATGGGCTGTGGAGTTGCCGCTCTTGGCGTTGGCGCTCTCAGCGGAGGTGCCGCGTCTGCACTTGCTGCTATGGGCTTTCTTGCTTGCGACGGAACCGTCTACGGAAGCTATGAGAAGGGGCTGGTTGAATGCAGAGCGTTTTAAAGGGGGAATGCTCGGTCTGCCGCGAGACACACGCGACTTGTGTGTCTGTTTATACAGGTTCATGTCTTAGGACGTCACCTAAGCTTTGAGGGAGTATCTCACCAATACCTTACGACAAGAACATCGATACTCTTTCCTGAATGCCACCATTCGATATCATATTCTGCTTCTCTTATAATATAACTTAATGTACTTGGTTTCCTACAACTTAAAGACCACACAAGTGTTTCCAAAGATGCGGCAAGATGTGAATTTGCCGGCAAGAAGCCGTCTCGGCAAAGAGGCAAGTTCGCCGTTGGAACGTTCGAGTCACGAGCTAGGTCTCTGATGTCGGCGCCGACACCAAGAACCGAAAAGCCTCTATCAATACTGCGAAACTCAACTAAACTTTGCTGATCTTGGTACAAAATGTGCAAGAATTGATTACGATTTATTCAAGCGGTCATGCTGCTTAGCTATGGTAAGTTCTCTTGTGTACAACTTGCGGGGAACACTCGGCCTGGCGATATTTTGCCGTCTCAATATGCTTCGAGTGACTGCCTCGGCACTTCAACAAATCTCCGTCCGATTGTCTTGACTATGCGATACTCTCGGATTTTCCAGAGGTTGTGTGTCATAGAAAGACCCCAAAAAACCTGTATAACCGGCGAGGGACTTGGACGCCGATTCATGAGGTTATAAATTATAAGTAGCAGTAATTATTTTCCATGGCTCCTGTAACCGAAAACCATACACGATATTCCTTTGCCAATTCGCTCTTTCGGATCATTATCATCAACTCTTTTGCTCATTATGACGATCAGTCACTCCCACCATCTCAGCGATCGCCGCCTCATTAAGTCAACAGCAGCAGCCGCTGCCGTTTGTGTTCAAAATCTTGGTTGCTGGAAGGCTGCAGTTAACGAGATACAATCCTGGCCAGAATACACATGTCAGCCGTTACGAGCTTTACCTAATACTGCCAACACTTTGGGACTTGGCAACATCTTTGTCAAAGATGAGAGTAAGCGATTCGGTGAATCTCTAGGCTCTTTCAAAGCATTGGGTGCACCATACGCTGTTTTTTCCATCCTTGCAGACGAAGTTCTCCGCCAGACTGGAGTTAGGCCATCGTCCACAGAGTTACGCAGCGGCAAATATGGCGCGTTCACTCGGAACGTGACTGTATGTGTCGCGACGGATGGCAATCAGGGCCGAGGACTCGCTTACGGTGCCAAGATATTCGGCTGTCGATGTGTGAACTACATCCACAGCCATGTGAGTCAAGGCCGTGCCAACGCGATGACAGATCTTGGAGCGTTGGTCATTCGAGTTGATGGAGAGTACGAGGAGTCGGTTCGTCGGGCAAGGGAGGATGCCCACATGAACGGTTGGCATTTCGTCAGCAGTACCTCGTGGTCTGACTTCGATGAGATCATTCCGAAGACTGTCATGAATGCCTACATGGTCGTTGTTGAGGAGACGCTTCAAACGTTGCCCCGTGCAGGGGACATTACCCATGTCTTTGTTTGCGGTGGCGTGGGTAGCATCGCGGCAGCGATCTTTATGGGTCTTTACAAGCACTTTCAGGAGCTTCAAAACCTGGGTCACTCTGTTCAGATTCCACGTTTCGTTGTTATCGAGCCAAACCAGGCAGACTGTTTGTTGCAAAGTGCCAAAGCGGGAGAAATGCGCCAGTCCTGTGGCAGCCTGCGCACTCTCATGGCTGGCTTGGCTTGCCGAGGCCCGTCTCCGGCAGCATGGAAAGTTCTTGAGTGGCTTACTAGCGACTTTGTCTCAGTCTCTGACTCAACCGCGGTTGACGGGATGATATATCTAGCGGAGGGATGCGAAGGAGATGTCCCTGTGGTTTATGGGGAGTCGTCAGCTGCGAGCATGGGGCTTCTTCTGAACTGCAGTTCTAACAAGGCTTTGCGCAAAGCTCTTGATCTGGATGAACAAAGTCAGTGCCTTTTGTTTGGTCTTGAAGGTGCGACAGACCCTGAAATATATGAGGATTTGGTTGGACACACGCCTCAGACTGTTTTCGAGGCGCAGAATAAGTTCTTGGCGACCCAAACGCAAGGCTGACTGAGTATCCGCGTTCTCGTAATTATTTCACTACAAAGCAGAATCAAACTTCTTAGTTCTCTGTCGCGAAAAAATTCATCTCTTGTCAAATTATCTGGGGTCCACCGTCAGACTGAAACATAAGACCGAGCACTTCAGTCCAATAGATGTTCATGTATAATTTTCGGTTATGTATCGCTGTTCCCAGTCCTGTGAGATGAATCTTCCGGAAGTAAGTGTAAGCTCTCTCATTTCCACCGGAACTTCATAGGATCACCCGGAAATCTCTCAATGTAGATGTTGTGTTGTTACGCTGGAGACGTGCCGGTGGTTGTTTACATGGTGGGAAGAGTGACATACCGCCGCTTTAGGATTAGTACGTCTATTTTTAGACCCCCATCGTGCCGAAGTATCTGCTGTTGGGGGCTCGTCCAGTCTTCGTTGAAAACACGAATGAGTCGCTCGCGTCAAAATCCTGTCTTCAGATCGTACGTCTATGGAGCTTTAACTCGCCAACATATAGCAATCTCAAGAAACTGTCTCCTCAAGCTTCGCTCCGCTGGTCAGTTAGTGGTTGCGAAGCAAACAATTGATGATCCATAGCGCTTGGGTTGCCCCACATTTGTGCGCCTACCATCGGTGCTCTAGCGTTCAAGCGCCCAACCTCGGCTGTTTGCTGTTTGTCTTACCCCCTTCTGGCCAACTCACCGAAATCACACTGAAGCTCCCCCGCCAAACAAGAACGATTACTGATCATCAAGAAACGATACATTAACCAGCTTTTGGGCTCGTCCGATCAGCTACACTCTAAATTCGGTGAAGGGTGTCATCATTGAAACCATCACTTCAAGTCCCCAACGTGTCAACGAACCTACTCCACCATGGCCACCTTGCAAGAGCAAGTCGCCGCGGACGACCTCGGTTCAGACAGGTTCGCCAGCCGCATTAACCCTGGACGCATGGGCAATGCGCAAAACATTGCCTACGGAGGGTGCACCATCGGGTTCGGCATCTCATCAGCATGCCACACGGTTGAACCCAAGTACCTTCTCTATTCAGTCACCGGCAACTATCTTGGTCCAGCCTTGACGGATCGGAAGCTGAAAAGTACTGTTCGCAGAGTTCGCGACACCAGAACCTTCGCAACAAGACTCATTGAGATCAGCCAGGACCAAGATAATGGAGAGTCGCGACTGTGCATGATCATGCTGGCGGATTTTCAGGTGAAAGAGCAGGCTTCGCTATTGTTGTACTCAGCACCACCATCGAGGTCATATTCTCCGCCAGAAAAGGGTCTTCTCCCGACTGAGGCAGCGGAAAAGCTGGTCAAGGAGGGCGTCGTATCGGAGAAGCTGGGCAAGCTGTACCTCGTTACTTTCGGTCTGAACGCCCGCTTTCTCGAAAGTCGCATGACGCCTGAGGGCGTTGCCCCCAACAATCTCCACGGCGTGGCCAAGAAAGCCCAAACACCCCAAGATGACCTTCCTCTGACTTCCAAGACCACGGCCGATTGGCTTCGGTCTCGTCATCCAATGGAGCGCCTTCAAGACCGGTTCGCCGGCCTAGGCTTCGTCCTAGACGGGGCGCTGTCTTTCATCCCTCTCACACACAACCACATGTTCCTAGACGACGCTGCAGCGTGCTCTAGTCTTGACTTCGCGCTCAGATTCTTCACTGGCGAGATAGATTTGGACAAGTGGCATCTCAGAGAATTGAAAACCATCACAGGACGCGATGGGAGGACCTACACCGAAGCCAGACTTTGGGATCAAGATGGGAACATGGTCGCAAATATGACCCAGCAGTCTATCATGAGGCCTTTGAAGAAGGCGGCCACGGCCTCTCTTTAGATTTTTCCAGTTTATTTGCCAGTACTAGACCTGTGCATACGCGGAATGGGCTTTTGGTCAACAGCGAGCCCACCGAAGGTTACATGGGTTGGCTTGTTTAGAGAGTAACATAGACCTCCGAACGCCCATGTCTCTCTAGACTCCGTATGCTTTTATAGATATACATTTCATAAGTAGAACCAGAATCATTATTTCTTCGCTTTGAAGACCCTTGCCCATGCTTGAACTTTCATCCATCCTAGGAAGGTGAGGCTTGCACTAGATAACGCTTTCAGTTCGTGTTGCTAGCCTTGCTCTTGGAGGTTTCGTATTGCATCGGATACTTCCGGGAAAAAAAAAAAAAAAAAAAACATTTTGTGAAGAATTCGTTTATGAATTTTTATATAACTAGGGATATATAAGAGGTCCCCCTTACTCTAATTACCCCCTATATATCTAGTAAACTACTTTTATTAACTATTACTCTATTAAACTATAGTACTACTTTAAGTTCTATTAATAAGCTCTTTTATTTTAAATAGTTTAATTAGTTTACTTTATAATATTAATTATTAGTTATTTTATTATTTTTAAATATTTTAGTAATATTTTTAAACTTATTAAATATTTTAAAATAAAAATTATTATAACTATATTAGTAAAAGATAATATATATTAATAAGTAATAAAAGAATAATACTTTTTTAAATTTATTATAGTTCTAAAGAAAAAAGTATTTACTTTAAAACTTATAAATATTATTCTTTTTTTCTTTAATAAGTTAAATAAAGTTATTACTACTTTTAAAATAGTAGTTATAAAAGTAGTAAATATAATATTATTTTAGTATTTTAGTATAATAAGTTATAGTAGTATAAAGAGGGAGATATTTATTTCTTAGTAATTTATACTCTCTTTATATACCTTTATAAGTAGCTATAGAGGTTTCTCTATAAACTATTTTAGTCCTTAATTATTCCCTATAAGAGTTATATAGTAGTTAATAAGGTGCGCCTCTAAGTAGCAAACTACAGAAGAAAAGTTAGAAGGGAAGAAAGATTCTAAAAGAATATTCGGTCTACTCTCTGCACTTTTAACACTGATATATAATAAGTAGACTCTTGTGCCGTTGTTCCGTGTTCCCGGAAAGTGACAGATTAATCGAAGCAACCAAATGACGTAGATGAGGATTGCGTTCGGTGTGTGGTCCTGATCCAGTCAGTCGAGATGGCATCTTACACATTACCGATTTCGTTCTTTACTTCCCTCTTCTTGGTTGAAACTCCATAAGCAGACATGATGCCCGCTGTATGTTCGTGCCAATTGGACGTCGCTAGTTGCATTCCTTGCGAATTGCAGTACGAATCTTAGCTGCTAGCCTCCGCCTGGAACGGCCGGGAATATCCAAACTACTATCGTACGACGTTTCGTTCAATGGGTCGACAGGTTCATCTGCGTTCGTCATGAACTTGCCTGCGTTTCTCGTGCTGTCATCGGCGGCAGCCGGCCAGCATGGCGGACAACACATGTAAGCATGTCGGAGCTGTACCGATAGTATTGCCGTCCATCCGAGTGAAAGATTCCAAGCATGATAGCATGAGGCTACAGCAATTCTAAGTCATGCTTTGCCATAAAGGCCTCCTGAGACTCAATGACTCGACCTTCTTTGTCAAAACCACGACCATCGGTAAGAACCGATGTAGCCTGCGGGGCATCATGCCATCGGCGCCGCCCCGAAAGCCAAACCTGGGGACTGAAATTACATGCGGGGTAGTCTGAGTCCGTGAATCCGGGGAAATTGGGGTACGAGGATTTGGCAAGTAAATGACATGCCGTATTATAATAGCTTCCTCCGGGTTGGTTGGATTGGTGTCGCAATTTCGAGCATTCAGGATATTTGCTATCCAATTGCCAGCCGTTACGTTACAATCGACGCTCTCAAAAAATCATCCCTCGCGAAATATGTTTATGGCGTAAAATCATTGCCTCCCGGAATCTTTAACTGGCATCTATTTGTCACAGTTGCTGCATTTGCGCTAGGGGGCTGCCCGAAAGGTTGTAATTCACCACGACCTAGTTTCAAGCTTTGAAGTCTTTTACTAACTAGCCATATCTTTGATAGGATGGGACGAAGGAGCTGCTGCTTCAATTACCGAGCTCGAATCATTCAAACACGCTTATCACCTTGAAGGCTCGAATAGCAAAACAACGATTTCTAACCTCGTCTCGTTCGTCAACATCGGTGCAGGCGTCGGAGCATTTCTGTCCTTCTTCCTCAACGACAAGATTGGACGTCTTTGGTCAATGCGCCTCTATCAGACAATTTATGCTGCCGGGTCTTTGATATCTTGCTTTTCTTACGGAAATCATGGCGTCCTTTACGTCGGACGCATCATTGCCGGACTGGGAATTGGTGCTTGCACGGTTGTGGGCCCAATGTCCATCGCTGAAATGGCCCCAAAGAGCATTCGAGGTCTAATGACCTTATGGTTCAATGTCTGCATGTTGGGAGGCCAGGCACTGGGCATCTTCACAGTGTTTGGCTGCAGCGCCAACATTTCATCGGAGCACAGCCTTCAGTACCAGATTCCCTGGTTCGTTCAGACCTTTGTCCCCGCAATCGCTGTGGGTTTGTCATTCTTTTCAGTTGAGTCGCCGAGGCGGCTCGCCATTCAGGGAAAGCAGAAGGATGCCCTTGACGCTCTGGTGAAGCTCCGTGGTTTACCAGCTGATCACCCATACTTGGAGGAGGAGTATGCCTTGATCGAAACCCACTTGAATGATGAGAACCAGCAGTCTGGGGATCAGGGATATTTGTCTATCATGAAAGAGACTTTTATGGTACGGTCGAATCTCCGCCGGGTGCAGTTGACTATCGTTGCCTATATCCTTGCCCAATTTTCCGGCGCCAACTCGGTAAGTAACCTGATCTTGACTGGCCGACCCCGTTTGCTAATTGGCACCTTCAGGTTACCAACTATCTTCCAACGATCTTCGGTTACATTGGAGTTCAGGGTGCTGGTGCCAAAGTCTACTCTTCGGGCTTATACGCCGTCGCGAAGATGATTTGTTGTCTTGTGGCCTCCCTTGTCTTCGTCGATGTCCTCGGCAGACGAAAGTCTCTCATGATCGGCATCACAATTCAGGCTGCTTGTCACGCCTACCTCAGTGGTTATCTGAAGTACTTTACCAAAGACCCGGACTCTGTGCCGAAAGGCGCATCAGACGCTGCCATCGGCATCATCTACATCCACGCTCTTGGATGGGCTGTGGGACTCTACACTTTACCATACCTGTTCGGTGCGGAGCTTTGGCCTAATCGTATTAGATCGTTTGGCGGTGCGCTGTCGCAAGGATTTCACTGGTTGTTCTATTTCGCCATCACAAAAGCAACGCCGAGCATCCTGAGTAGTATGGACATTTGGGGTGCGTTTTTGTTCTTCGTCGGATGGTGCATCCTTGCCTTCATCTACACGCTCTTCTTCATTCCTGAAACGAGTGGCTTGAGCTTGGATGAAATGGATGCCATTTTCCAGCGACCCATGCACAAGATGCGACAAGCAGCATCTGGAAAGAGTGAGGAGGAGCGGATCGGTAGGCGAGTTTCGGTTGAAAAGGGGGCAGTGGCCCATCTTGAAAGAGACTAGATCAAGAACGAAATGAGCACCACACTATCTCCCCAGTTCGCATCCATCAACATGAAACCTGCGGCGTCATTGGGTCTCAAGCAACGGGGTGTGCACATCTACTGTAGACGCACGCAAATGCCTTCGTCTCGTTGACGCGAGCGTAGCTTTGTCGATGCTTGGCCCACGGAAGACACCCTTTCTCGAAAACACCCACCCTAACCAAGTCAAGAAGAACAACACCGATGCCACAATACTGTAAATCATCAGCTATCAGGCTCCACCAAGAACTATCGACTGCCTTTGGTTCTTCCTGTGCAGATATAGTCACTGACCTGTTGTAATTCATGTTGTAAGGTGTTATTGGATATTCGGTGGGAAGACAGCAGGCGATCACCAGCAACACCGTCCAGATTGTCGATATGAAGTTGACGGCGTAGCCAAATCGTCCCAGGCTGAATGGCCGCTCAGGGAGAAGCTCGTCACGATCCATGAATAGGAGAATGGCCTGTGGGATGACGTAGGATCCGACCAGAAAGATGATAGAAGCGCTCACCATTAGCTCAAATGCCGTCTCTGACCCAACGAACACCAATCCATAGACCTAGTAACTCCTTAGTCTTGGTATCTCTCTGGCGCAAAATGAGTAACTCTTACGATGGAAAATGCCGCCTGTATTATGACAGCGTTGAGAGGCATTCCGAATCTTGGACTTATTTGCTTCCACAAATCGGATCGCGGAAAGCATTCGTCGCGTGCAGCAGACCACAGTGCTCGGGACGACCCCGTTATGATTGCGACCACGCAAGCAAAGAAGCATATTGCGAAGGCGACCATGAGAAGTACGGTTATGACTCGACTCCCTGTTGCTTGATAGTACAGCTGGATCAGGGGGAGTCCACTAGGTGCATTCAGAATCTCATCAATATCCTTGATGACGAACATGCAAGTGCATGCAAACGGAAAAACTGGCATTCAATTAGTAAGAGAAGTATCGTGGCCGAAGGGCTCAGACACTACCTGTTGCCAGTCCGATTATTACTGGGTAAATCTGAGTCCTGTTAGCACACTCTCGCGAGGAGGGAATTGCGAGAATACCCACGATCACTTTGGGGGCAGTAACAGTGGGATTCGGGATTTCCTCTGTCATGTGGACACCGGCATCCGTTCCGAGGAATCCATAGAGATTATTGACGAAGCAAAGCACCCATGCGAGAGACTGACTTTCCCATCCGCTGGATATCGTGTTGTCCGTAAATACCCACCTGGCTGAGTTGTAGTTGGGGTAGCTGCAGAAGAGCATTGTAATAGTTGTTACTACTAGGGTTGCCATGGAAAATACGACTTTCCTCAGCAGTTAGTCGAGAGCTTCAACGTCTCCAAGGGAATCTTGTAGACGTACAGATGAAGCCAGTCAAAGCCGGTAGTTTTCGGGCTCCAACAATGTTGATAGTGGCTCCAAGTACCATGATAGCTACGTAGACAAGATACTTATGCCATGGGTCGATGATGTAGTCGGGATTCATAAACTGCACGATGGATAGGACCATGCCAGAGATGAAGTTACATGTACTTGCGCCTCCAAGCCAAATGCCCAGTACACTTATTACGGCAGTGCTTTCAGGCGAGTTAATAATAGTTCATGCATTTCAGAACGTACTGACTTACGTGTACGAAACGAACGGTCCCCATTTCGGGGGAGACAGGATAAAGGCCCAGTAGTATTGCCCGCCAGCGACGGGGAATGCAGATGTCAACTCAGCCATCCCCAATGATACAATACCAATGAATAAAGCCGCAGGAAAGAGCATGAATATGCTGCCAGCAGATGATCCCTGCTTAATACCATTTCCGATGGCACTGCACAGGACAACCAGTCAGTTACGTTGCTGTAGGATGTCTGGAGAAGCTGAGATTCGAGATGCTTACCTGGCGAAACCATTCCATGTACATATTACAGCATAGGAAAGAGCCAACAGAGAAAATGTAGAGAACTGCCTCGGCATCTCTCGATGATATCCAGATGCCTCCAATTCCGCATCATCGTAGTTGGGCTGGCCATCGATATCTTCAATCGGATGTCGGCCTGATGCGCTAGGTACTGTCACTCGTCCCTCAGCATCCTGGCCAGGTCTCAATCTTGAAGCCGGTTTCATCGCAGCCAGTCGTTCTGACCGAAGTTTACAGGCATGGGGTACCTAGATGCAGCGTCGGACGACTGAGGGAGGTGGTTGAGACTGGGTTTTGTGTCGGCGATGTCGGCCTGACTCAAGGATCCGCTCCCCGCAACGCTAGTAACACTCGCTAATAGCCCGTGACCTACAGCAGTCATCCTAGCAGCGATAAGCATCTTTTTCGCTCTTGCTCACTGAGACAATCGGATACCTTATCAACCCCCAGTCAAACTTTCCAGGAAATGAAATCCAGCCTCGGAACGACAGCTGGCGGCCGGATATCAAGTCCATGATGAAGACCGTACCGGGAACGGCCGGTGCGGCCCCACTCCGGGCGCAGCAATCGGCTAGCACCAGTCGGCCAACTCCCTCGGCCGCGTGAATTATTGGAAGCCGAAAGCCGTGAATGATCATTCGCACGTCGCGGGACCAGCCTGTGTTCACGGTTTCCTCACAAAATGCTGCAAGGCCCGTGTGTTGAAAAAAGGCCGTACTCGGCGTGAGGTATTCGAAGGAGGAAAGGACTTGCGATGTGAGCTGAGTTCGGAGATGTTGTGGCTGCGAGAATCTATTCATCACGTCCATCATGCACAGTGAAAGTCAATGTTTTTTCAATGGCCAAGTGACACGATTTTCTGCGTCCTCATCTTTATAGAATGTATCACAATGCCTTTCATATACCACAGTCTACTTCATCACTGTAGTCAATTAAGCCCTTTTTACAACCACCGACCATACCCTGAACTCCTTCATAAGCCGGAACCTAAGAACTTGTGTTCCATTAAGACATTACACACTAAAAGTAGTCCACATCTCATCAAAATGAGGGGATAGAAGAAGAAGAAGTCATGAGATCAATCAAGCACACATCATGTCGTGCAACTGAATTACTCAGTTGCATGTGCCAAAGGCAGGCTGACACCCCGTGCCGCAGTGGTCCGTAGTGCTTCCACACCAACCATACTGACTACAGCACGTGGCACCAGGCTCCTTGATACAAGTCGTACCGCCCTGGGTCGAACCACAGCGGCCGTTGGTGCTCACCGGCGGAGTACCTGAAGGCCCGTTAGCCGAGCTGGCGGGAGTAGAGGAACTCGCAGGCGTCGATGACGACGGCGGCGCAGAGCTCACACGTACACTCGAAGTTGACGCGCCCGAAATGGCACAGGTGCCGTAGAGGGGCTGGCAGGACGCGCCGCAGTGGTCGGCGGTGTTGCCGCACCAGCCGACGGAGGAACAGCACGTGGCGCCGGGTTCGTTGACGCAGGTCGTGAAGCCGAAGTTGGGGCCGCAGCGGCCGTCTGTGGAAGGCGTGAGGGTTCCTGTGGGAGAAGCGACGGAGGTGGTGAGGGTGGTGGCAGTGGCGCGGGTGGTGGTCGTGCCGGAGCTGGGCGGGGCATCGCCGACGGAGCGGTACCAGTTCTCCTGGGGGTCGCCGAGGCACTCTCCGACAGTGACGGACTTGAAGCCGTTGCGGAAAAGGGACTCGAGCATGTGGTCTGTCAGGTTGTAGACGGACTGGTAGACAGGGTCGTGCTCGATTTGCAGCCACTTGGTGTTGGCGGGGTCCTTGCCTTCCACGTTGTCATCCCAGATGTCCTTGGAGTCCTGGATGAGCTCTGGGCTGTCATGAAGGTAGCCCTCAGTGTCCAGGTTGAAGTAGGTGATGTGGTAGCCAAGGTCATCCAAGTAGCCTTCACAAGTGGCGTCACAGGCGGAGTAAGGGGGTCTATAGATGTCAGCCAGGTCTTCATTGCGGAGAGAAAGCTGTAGCATACCTCATGTAAGTCGGAAAGTAACCCAGCAGGTCGGCGAAAGCGATCTCATTGTAGATCATCTGGTTGCGGAACTTCTCTGCGCTGATGGTGGTGAGTCTCTGGTGGGACCACGTGTGGCTAGCAACCTGGTGGCCTTCGGCGACCATGCGCTGGCAAAAGTCAGTTTACGAATCCATGTTTCTGTAACGAAGTCACTTACTCTGATCAGAGCAGGCCAGTTGGTAGTCGGGTCGTTGATCTTGCCCTTGCCCAGGTTGTTGCCAGTGATGTAGAATGTAGCCTTGGCATTGTACGCCTACACAGAGATCAGCCAAACTCGTTCGTCGCTACCTGCCTGACAAAAACGTACCTTCAGCTTGTCCAGCAGATCCTCGGTGTAGATGTAAGGACCGTCATCAAAACTCAAAGCAATGTCACCGTACTGCTCGCAGTGATAGATGGCCTCGCCGTAAGGCACCGGGCCAACCTTAGTGCGAGCGACGTTGGTCGTGTCCGGCCCGTCTGGGCGGATGTTGGCATCGCATGCCGGGCCGTACTCAATCATGCACGACGGCGCAGAGCAGTAGAGATACCCTTGACCGCACCATCTGCCATACGTTTCAATATCCAAGTCTTGGAAACATCTGGGGGGGTAGACATGACTTACCCTGCGCTGGAACAGCAGTATCCATCATCGCAGACCTGGTTGTCGTAGTCCGGACCGCAGCGACCCACGGACTGACGCGCCTCCAGCTCCGAGGCCGCTGGCGCCAGTTCAGGTTTCGCAGCGCGGCGCTGGATCTGGCGACGGGCCGCGGTGAAGTCCTGCATGGCGCGTCTCCCAGTCATGATCTGGGGCACGGGAAGCCTGTCGCCAGAATCGGCGCCGTGTGCAGCGGCTAAGCCGAGACCAGCCGCGAAAGCGAGGGTGGTGAAATGCATCGTGAAAGTATGTGGGAAGTACAAATTGGTGGTAACGAATGATTTGTCCCCGTGGACACACACAACAGCGCTGAACGAATGGACTATGACAAGGCAGAATTCAGTGAAGAACAGGGCCAGGCCAAATGGGACAAGGTACACAAAAGCAGGAGGTGAATCTACCGAAAACACTGCTTTTGGCAACTAATTACACCGTGGACCGGAAGAATAGCAAAGCGGACCAGACGGCTCGGGGCCGGAAAGTGTGTTTTATAACGGAAGGGCATGTTCATCTGATCGGGTGAGCAAGCTACCTTGGGCATGTAGGTAGTCTCTCGGCTGAAAATGCGACCCTACGCAGGCGGCGTGAGAGATCGGCCGCAGCGTGCTTGGCTCCAGCTCGGAGGGGGGAGTAATTACAGCGAGCAGGTCTCTGCCGGAGAGAAACGCGACGTTCTGTATGCGTGTGTACATTGCTGGTCATCCCCGCATAGCGGTAGATGCCTGTACCGTGGAGCGAACTTCCAATGAGACATGGGTGCTTCGAGGCGGCGGCGGCTCCCCGTTGGTCGGGGCCCTCTGCCGGCAAGTGACTATTTTAGTCACCTCCATCTGATAATACGAGGGCGAACAAGAGAAAAGCAAGGAGCCTGCAACGTGAATAAGATATGGGGATGGTTCTAGCGCAAGTAGCTGAGCAAATCCCCGAATGTCACGGGTCACTGGTGGCTGTCACGAGCAGAACTGGCGGTGATTCAGGACGCCACTGGGTATCTAAGAAGACAGTTCTGACATGGCTTGAAGATGTCAGGAACGTCCTGTGAGTGAGTGGTGGATGTGCCGACTACGGCCACCAATCTTGGCACTCTGGTGCCTGACTGCCTGTGAGATGTGTAATTGGAGGCGGCGCAGGTAATATTGAATCCATACATGACCTTATTGTGCGCTTAACACAAGAGATGGTGTACAGAGAGCCGTCGTTTGAGGTACCAAGGCAAGCCAAGAGAGCCTTCATCGAGCACAGGCTGACTGGACGTAAGCCGACGTGGATCCGCAGACAGGCAGGTCAGCCGTTGTGGAGTCTTGAAGAGCGTCCAAATCGATCGAGGAGTGCGTCAAAAGCAAAAAAGACCAATATGAGAAAACGAGGATGGTTATTGAGGCGACAAGGCTGGGCGTTGGTGCTGATGCCGAGCCCGCGTACAGCATAGTAACGTGCCTTGCAGATCAGCCGAGTAATAATGCTGTGGACAACAATAATGGTATGATGGCCTTTGATTCCTTTGATGGAGCTGCTTGCATATTGTCCTGTTGCCCGGCTGTTGTTGACGCACAGCAGCCTGGGCTATATTGAAGAGGGGCCTCGCTGTGATGTCTCCAGCTTTTTCTCATGTAGGTGAGATGGGGCCAGGATGGGCTGTGGATGATGAGATGCACTCGTTTTTCTGCACTTGGATTAGTGAGGAAACAGGCGTGGGAGGAAGACGAGGTGAGAGGGACGATGGATGGGTGAGTGAGATGGAGACTTGAAAAGTGCTGTGCAGCAGTGAAGCAGCGAGCCGGGGGCGGAGAGCGGGGCAGGGCGATAATTTGTGGGGCGGGTCCGAGCCAGGCTCTTTTCCTCATAAGAGAAAGTGCATAAACAACATGCATCAATTGAGAACATACCCTGGAACCCCTTTTGGCGGCTATTCCCCCGATTATTGCCTCCCGCCCCGGGTCCATGGTCAGCTCACCCCCTTAACATGCTCTACCGAAGGTCAAGCTACTCGCTCCGCGCCTGCCACGTCCCACGAGCGCCCCTGACCTGCCGAAGTATTGACTTGGCAGCGCTCGGTGTGTGTGTTTCCAGGGCCGCTGTATGGCATCTTCAGGCGTCAGATCGCATCTTTCCAGCACTTTTGCTGCTGTTTTTCAGGCCATGTCTGCCGAAAAGATGACCCGGACCAGGGGTTCCTCGCCATCGGCTCACTGTGTCTGGCGAGGGAAGCTTGCCTTACTCGAAGCTTTCTGGCGCTTGCTTGGCAGTCAGCTTTACGTTGGAATGTGACTGTTGCCACGAAACGTGGACGTTTCGCTCGCGCGCGGCTGTGTCTCTGAGCCCGAGTCCTTGTTTTTGTTTTCCTCTTGTCCTGGTTGTGGTTCCTGTGATGTGACGCTTACGGTGGGATTGCAGAGCCCTTTGCCGGCTGGCTCCCTTCAGTTAGCCTCCCATCATGTCGGCAAAGGAACCCCCCGATGCTCGATTGACAGCAACGTCGGCCACCATTCTGGCTCGTCCTTCCAAAAGGACGCCCCAGTTTCGTGCAGACACGGGCTTGCCCAGACTTGAGACACTGGCCAACCGCCAGCCGTTGCAAGGGAGGCTGCTCTCTGAGACCAGTCTGGGTTCGCAATCCGCCGTTCCCACGTTGCCGTCGCGGTCGTTGCTACCAGAGTGGTAACAGCACCTGAAATGGACGATTCCATCACGCCTTCACCGGATCACGAAACTCGACGAGGTGGCAGTTTACCCCCGTGAATTGCCTCTTACAGAAAGAAACAAGAACCTTAACTCCGGGCTCGGTACCCGCTCGTCGGCCTGGGATAGGGTTGGCTCGCTTCGCACAAGTCCCGTCGCTGTGCTGTAACTCGCTGCAACCCGCGCATGTTGCCTCTGGGTTGAGTACGCCCTCTGCGTATGCTGCATCACGGCGCAGCAGCTCGCGCAGGGTGCAGCTCACCGCATTCGGTTGCACATTCGCACAAAAGGGAGAATGAAGGGACCGGGGTTGCATATGTGGTTAGCAACAGTGAGAAAATCGAAAGAAAACTTTTCACTTCATGTTGCCGGCATCATCGCCCGGCGACCTTTTGTTCGACGTCGAGGCTGATGCCAAGGAGCTGAGATGGTATGATATGACGATGGCTGGCAGTATGAGGGGTCTGAGTGCATAATATTGCGCGCTGGCAGCTGCGGAGGCATGTGGCCTAGCCCTTTTGTCTCATGGCGGTTATTCATATCCCATGTCGTGTGTGTTGTGATACCAGAAGTCTTTTTTTTTTTTCCCCAAGACAATTACAAGCCCTGTCATGTGTGAGACATCGTACCGGTCGCTGAGTAAATTGGTGGCTGGAATACGATGAGATGAGGGGTAAAAACGATGAAGACTTCATTTTCTTGCGGAGCGCGGTCTTGGGCCAATTGCCTGGAGGCTTGTCAGACTTGAGCGAATATATCCGGGAATAAACCAATTTAACACTTCCTGCGGATGAGTGGACTTGCAAATGAAGGCAGTCGAGACATCGCGCCAGAATGGCGAGGATGAAGACATCCGAAAGAATGCCACTGGACGGGTGCCTAAGCGCGTAGTGTGTGAGCTGCTCTGTGCTCTTCCCGCGTCTTTTCCTCCACTCCCTGATGGAGCTTTTGTGGGTGCTTTTTTCGTGACATGGAGAGATCGACATTCCGGTCGAGCATGAGTTGCAGGCGGAGGGCGGGAGTGATGGGGCCTTGTCCGGATCACTTCCCCAGGTGGACCTCACTCAAAGCTGTTCAAGGTTGAGACGCGCTCCGCTGGAGCCCAATCCCATCCCTACACATGTGGGCTTTGAAATGTGCGATTAGCCAAGACACTCACCGTTGAAGTTCTCGACCCAGATCTGTGATGAAACGATTGGTCTTTGCCGCGACTCACCGTCGCTGACACAACCACGTGGGTTCTAATGTGAGAGAGTGAGATGTTCTCGCTGAAGGGGGTGCGTAAGTACTTCGGAGATCTCATTCCAACTCACCTGAGCCTCACCACACGGTGGATGGTGTGCGATGCGAAAAGACGCCGGCAGACGACCATCAGTCGGGTACCTTATTCTAGCGCTGGCAGACCTGCCAAGCTGGGCGTGGAAATGAGTCTGGGTTGACGATGATCTTTTCGGGGGCCCATCACGCCTTCGCCGCACTAAATTGTTTCGATTTTCAGCCTTCGGGGCGGGAGCTAGTTAGTTCAGATGGCGCTGATCTTGCGAAAGACGGTAGGGCTTGACGGGATCTGTCTCCTCCCACATCACGGACGTACAACTACGGTTGACGGGTCCACGACGACAAGGTTTCGACGAGGGCACGGAGGCATAGCTTCCTTTTCTTAGCTCCGTGCTAGATGCGATGCGACGAACTACTTTAGCTGGGACCGCAGGGTTGGGTTGCAAAAGCACGCTCAAAAAAGACGTTGACGGGACGCATAATAGCTTCATTTGGGCTGATGGTGCCACCGGCTAAACAAGTTAGTCTGGGTCCAGCTATTAGTTCGAGTGCGACGTACCTTGGAAAGGAATCTCCAAATTTGTCCCTGGAAACAATTTTGCCGTTTCTTATTTTTCGCGATAGCAGCGGGATGGAAGGTTGAGACAGGATAGAGCTATCGGCATGGCGGAGATTCAAGGCGTGCCACACATGTGTCGCAGCGCCGTCTTCGCGGAGACCAACCACCGCATTCCCCGCCGTCGTGACAACGGTGCAAATCAATCATCTCACAAAAACAGACATACACAGCAAGGCAATTGAAAGCATGAAAATGGGTCAACCGTCTGTATGATTTTGGATTTCGTACGTGATACTTGAGAAAGGTATCTATGCCTCATAAGTCATTCATGGAGCCACCAGACCTAAACATTACATTAAGAATGAAAGAAAACAAATGATCGAGAATAAGAATGAAGATCCGACAAGACAAGTCGGAAATATGAAGACAGAATCAAAAGCAGGAAGGAATCGAAGAAGACACAGGGCCCTGCCAGAGCGCAGCCCCGCCATCGCCGTTCGTTTCCGTCCGTCTGTACAAGAGTCCTCCGCTATGTACGAGCTCTCCAAGCCGTATGTGGTGATGCTGTTGGTGGTCGATGGTGATGAAGTGTGTTCCTCCTTCCACAGGTAGCCCGTGTACTGCCATTACCTGGATATATCTGATATCAACTTTTTTCCTCTCCCTTGGTTGTGCGGCTCGCTCGGATCCTCCAATCGCAAGCCATGTCTCACCCTCCCAGTCGTCGCGTTGACGAGTCTAATGTTCCCATTTTCAGCCCTACTAAACAGTCGCAAAAACGCCACCTGAATGATTTCGACAAGTAAAAAGAAATGAGCGAGAAGTGACGAGGCGGCAGAGGCTTGTCCCGATGGGATGGATGGGATTGGGGAAGGCCGTGATTCGGCAGCGACCCGGGCCCCAGGCTCCACCGGGCGGCGGCATGGTCAGCTGAAGCCAGCTCATGATGCCGCCGCACCTGTCGCTGATTGTCGAGACGTGATGCGCATTTAATGAGTGCCGCGACCGCCCTCGGCGTCCGTCTTTTCGTCGTCGCCCTTGATGACCTCGCGAGTCTTGCCCCACTTGAAGTCGTCCGAGTAGACGAGGGAGTAGCCGAGGATGATCATGTTGAGGAAGGGTGAGGTGCAAAGGTGGAAGAAGTACCCGACGAAATACTGCATGCGCTCGAGCATGTTTCTTGGCAGCCAGAAACCGATGCAGAAGGAGTAGATCTGCGACATTGTCAGCCATGAATCAAATCGAAGAGTCGGCAAGGGAACTTACGTATCGGAGGAGCAGCAGAGAGAAAAGCGCCATGAATACTGGATCACGGACGAGCTCGTCACCACGACGGATGAGGATGATGATCAGGGCGATGACGGCGGCCATGATGAATGGGGTGATGAACCAGGTGCAGACGGCGATGATCGACTGGAGACGCTCGATGGGGATGATACCAGGGCGGAAGATCATGACGAACTCGTTGGAGATGGATCCCAGGGCCCAACGCTTGCGCTGAGACAGGAAGACATTCCAGTTCTGGGGCACAATCGTGAAGGCCTTGGCGCGAAGAGCCTGAGCGGTCTGGCGCTGGGGGAACAAGGAGAAGATGATACTGGCGTGGATGGAGTCTTCCGAGTAATTGCCCATGATGTGCTGGGTCATCAGGTCGTTGGGCTTGGGGCAGTATCCGAAGCGCTGGCGAAGGACCTCATCACCAAAGGTAGCCTCGTCAATCTTGATAAGCTGACAGCATCCAGGAAGACAGTTGACCTTGCCGGTGATGCGCGACTGGAACATGCGGCGGAGACCTTGAGTTTGGGAGTACTCGACGGACTGGTACAGCGACCAGAGACCCCAGTTCTTGCCGTCATAGTCAACACAGACGTGGCCACAGACACCGACAAGTTTGGGGTTCTTGCGGATCTCCCTCAACATCTCCCAGATGCAGTATTCATCAAAGACGGTATCGGCGTCCATGCCAACGAGATACTCAATGTTTTCCAGGCCCTGGACGACGAAGGCGTTGCCGACATGCTCGAAGAGGTCGTTGTTGAACATGGTCATGACGTTGACGGAGCGCTTGTGGAAATGGTACAGGAACGAACGGGCAAAGCACAAGCTGTCGCGCTTGCCCTGGTTGTACCGCTTACCAACGAAGAGGTAGGGCAGTCCCTTGTAGTAACCGGTCTGAATCTTTGTGGGCATGAAGAGACCATCGCGAGCGCGGTATCCGTTCTCAAAGAAGCGCGTTGGGCCAGGCTCGAGGATGTCCTGCAGGAGGTACTCTTGGGTGGTCTTCTCCATACCAGGGCCCTTGACGTTGCCGTCGACAACGATGAAAATCATGCGCGGGTGTTCGTCAATGTTCTTCTGCGCTACCAGGGAGTCGAGCGAGCGAGTGAGCTCTTCGTACGTTTCATTGTAGCATGGCAGAAGCATGACCATGCGCTCCGGGGTCTCCGGGACCTTTTCTTTGCGGCGGAAGCACCAAAAGATGGTTTTGAAGAGGAGGTGGCCGACAATGAAGACGATCATGATGAATTGGAGCACCGTGTTGGAGCTGAGCAGGACGATGAAGAAGTAGTGGGCGACATGATAGGTGAACGAGATGTAAATGAGCGCGGCATTGATGCAGAGCAAACCGATGAGAAGGCACCACTTCTGGAACCTCAGCAGAGACTTCGAAACCACCTTGAGCTCTGCATCTGAGTCCCATCTGAGCTTGGCCTCCTCTTGCTGGACGGATGATACGAAGGATGCCGCAGACTCGCCGCCGCGAGACTGCCATGAGCGGTGGCCATTGGATCCAGGTGTACGTTGGCCGAAGGGAAGATCATCAGTGGTGAAGCCCACGACGGACTAAACAATTAGCTTTGCTTATGCAATGTGAAGCTATTGCGACTTACAGAGCCCTGAGACTGGATTCTTGAGGGGTTGAATGGCCTTGGAATGGACAAACTACGGTGGCTGCGAGCCGGTGTCGATGATCCAGAGTGAGCGGAGGGGGCCAGAGGTGGCCGGCTTGCCTCCGCCATGGCAGGCGGAGCTGGCGGGGGAAGAGGAGGAGAGGGAGCTGCCCGTGTCATGATGTTGACTGGGTATACTGATGTGGTTGAAGAGAGATGGTGATCCAAACGAAGGCCTCGAGAACGACGATAGCGGTTGGCTATCAAGTATAGAACGAGGAACGACAGACGACTGGGGGAGTCAGGGATCTAATCAAGATCCTGGCTGGGGCCAACAACAAAACGAATGTGGTGACTGCCGGAGGCAACAGACAAAGTTCCTGCCGAAGAGAGGAAGAGAGTGAAGGGTGAGAAGTGGAGGGGGAATCTATATGCCTGCGGATGGGATGGCAGGAGATGGAAAAAAATAAAAGAGGGCCAGCATGGGGTAAAAGAGGGTAGCATCAGCACGGCGGACCTGGACTTCCTCAACTTGGGTTAGCCTCACGAGGCGGTTGACCCGACCAGCTGTCTGGTTTCTCGGAATCAACGCTCTACTCAGGCTCAGGTAGAGTGTGTGGTAGCATCCAGCTAACTCGCGGTCCGGGGGTGGGCATGGACCGCGCAGGGCCTCTCTCGGAGCCAGCAACTTGCTTGACCTGACATTGAGCTGCTTCTTCGACGATGTGCGGTCATGTCTCGCAATACGGACTATTGATCCGAGTGCAGCAAGTTGCTGGGCTGGGCCGAACGATGGACAGATTCGGGCATGGCGACAACGATGCCAAATCTAGCGTCAGCTGAGGCAATGGCAAGCAAGAAATCAACAAGCAGCAGCAGGTTCGATCATGTCCACTTGGTACAGCCACGGGGTTACGGGAACAGTCAAACGCCATTGGGCAGTTTGCAAGGGGATCAAGCCATCTAACGACGTTTCCCGCCAAACGTGTGGTTGGGTGGTGGAGATGAGACAACCATGCCATCCCATATCCATGTCCAAAAAGAAAAGGCTTCAACAGCAGCAGCACCACGCACAGCGGCGGCTGCAGGTGGATGGTTGGATGGCTAGGCGGCAGTACATCTGGTTTGATGGCTCACTTCAGGACCCCCCTGGGTCCTACGCCGGGTCTCCTTGGCTCGAAAAGTCGTTAAGTCTCCTCCGTGACTCTCTGAGCTGAGCTGTTGCCGCCGCAGATGTTGTCCGCTAGATTCGCTTGAATCCGAGAAACGCCATGATCGCCACCAGGCGGCAGCCTGTATACGGGCGGTACAAAGCCCGTCACTCTGCATTGTGTGCGATACTGGAAAAGGACCAATTCGCTCACAAGACGTCCAGAATAAGGATCGGCGTGGTCCGAGGGGACATGTGGCGTCGTCAAACGTCGACATTTGGTATGGCGCAGAAGCAGGAGAGAACCCCAGGCAAGCAGCAAATTCGGAATAAAAAGAAACATCATACCGCACAGGCATACACACCAAAGAAGAAGAGGCGCTCAGATGGCGCAGCAAGAGATGCACGGCCGGTGCGACGTTCAAGACGGGAGCCGCTCGCTAAGCAAGACAAGGGAACGGCGTCCGTTTCGACCGGGGGTGGGTGGTCAACTGGTGATGATCCGGCCCTAGGAACTTAGCGCGGTGATGCTCTCCGCTGACACCCCTGTCCAATATACACGTCAGTTTCAACTTCAGGACACCGCTGCTTGCTGAAGTTGTGAAGTGCAGCCTTCGTGCAGCTACGAGAGATATTTTGGGCGTGAGCGCGTGGATTGGGCCCCTGGGGGCTACCACACATGCCACAAAGGCCATTTGGGGTTCTTGGCCCCCGTGTTCGCGGGTGATCTTCGCTTCGAGAACGACGGGGGCGAAGGAAACAAAAGAGCCGCAGATGGATTGGCTGCGGGAAAGCGTTGGCTGGGTTCGGTTGGGTTGAGCTTGGTGACTAGGCTGCTCCCTCTAGAGGCAAAGCCAACCAACCTCTTTCCGAGAATAAGACAATACTGCATCGGCGGGGCAAAGGAAGTCTTTGGGGCGGCGACTGGATGGTCGATATCGCTGATGGTTGCTGCAGCAGTGAGCTGTGAATCGGATCAAATCAGATCAAACCCCGGCCTGCCAAGCCCGTGTTCGTGGGTTCGTAGGCTGCAAGAGTGGGCACCAAAAGACGTGGTACGGTGCCTGCCCATGCAAGTGGATGGCCTCCGCACGCAAGTAAGCTTAGAATCTGGACTGTCGATGAGAGGACAGACAGGCTTCAGCAGGCCAGGGCAAGGCAGGTCCGTCAACGCCTTCACTCAGGCACACACAGTTGTGCATTTCCTCTGTGTGGTTTAGGTAGATGCGCGTCTTCGCTCTAGCTGTCTCTGTACGCGGACGCTGACCGAAAACTCCGGGCGAACGACATCGTGCGTCTCGTACATGGTTGCGGCATGTATAGCGGCGCGGCCTAATGTCTGTGGGATCAAGCCAATGCTGCCAACACTGCACTCGTGGTTCTCGACGGCCGACAAGTACTTCGGATGACTGGATGAGACAGGATGAACGACACAATTGGTTGTGTGGGCTCGCTCTCAACGCTTGCCTCGAGCCTCCTCCTACTTGGTACTCGAGTTCAGACCGCTGAATCATCCCTTCCACCGCAAGATCTGGCCTGCCAACGTTTGTCTGGTGTTGTTGAGGGAAAGCAGCCAGGCCCCGGGAAAACCATTGCATCGATGAATGATATCCCAATTGCCAAGAGGACCCTTCTTTGCAACCATATCCTTTTCCGTGCCGTCGCTTCTCGTTTGGGAAATCACCGGTTGGAGACGCTTTCTTCTGCGGTTGATTGCAGCCCCTGGGTAATAGCAGTCAGGGTAAGGGGAGGGCACTGCTTCGAAAATGGAAGCTTTTGTTGCCCCCTCTGACACAGATGGCGGTTTGCCGGTAAGCCAAGAGGTTCCAGCGGTAGGTGCGTTGAGGACGTGCGGTTGCGGTCGTTGTGGCCCGTATTGGTCTCTCCTTGCTAGGCGCGTAAGAAGAAAAGGCTGTGGCGTTGACGCTCCAGGTTCATCACACCATCGGTGGGCGTTGTAGTAAGGTCCTTTGGACATGGGTGAGGGGAGAATATGGTAGTCGCATCACAGGCGTCAATCCCCAGGACCCAGCTTTTCAGCCTGGATGGATTGTGTGACTGGATGATGGATGAGGCGGACTCTAGCCCCCGTGGGAGGGTGAGAGATGGAAAGCGGGGCGGAAGAGAGATGCGGAAGAGGCTTGCATGGTCGTTGCGATGAGGATTGATGGTGAGAAACACATCGACAACCTCAAAGTAGCAAGGGGCCAGAATGCTGAAGGAGGGGGAGTGGGTTGCGGTGTGTGAGAGGGTGGCGACGGTGGGACGAGGAGGAGAGGAGAGGAGAACCGGGGGGAGAGGTGGAGGGGACGGGAAGGGAGATGCACACGCCCCTCCCCCCCTTGGCTTCTCTTGCTTAACCGTCATAAAATGCCCCGATGCAAGTTTGCAACTATGCATATATCCGTTTACCCCGATAGTAATTGGCCGGGGTTACAGGTCGCGGGGAATTGGACTCGGAGGGGTGGGTCCAAGACGCCCGACTTCCAGTGCTAGCGGCGGCGGCGGAAGCGGCCCCACATCGACCCCCGATGAGAGTTGGCGCGGCGCTAAGCACGCGGCATCCCAGTTCCTGCAGTAGTCGGGACCTTCTTTTCCAAGGTTACGCACGCTTGGCACCTCGGGGACCGGGGTCCTCAGCGACCAGCCAGTGGTGCCATTCGACAATTTCTCGCACTGAGCTTGACGTTGAGGTAAGATGGGAGGGACGTTCCGCGCTAGGGAAGAAGACCGCACACTTCGTCCGGAGACACAGGACTGTGAATGGCACAGAAGAGGCTTTCGTGTATGCAACGTACCTCGCACCTTCATCCTTGGCCATTAACCACGTTGTCCATCCTGTTTGTTTGCCTCACCATATGGTGTACTACTGCCTAATCTAAGCATAGTATTCGCCGCTGCAGTCTGCTGGTCGGCACACTATCGAATTTCCCCCACGAAATGCTACGGTGCGGCACGTCTTTTTCGCCCCCATGTCGACCATCGAGGCGCACCTTCGCAGTGTCATCTCGTCGCATGTCAACCCAGCACGGGGTTAGTTTAGTCCCGAACTTGCGTGCGCATCGCATCCCAAATTCCGGACCATCCAAAAGATCGAATGACAGATGTTCTACCGCGCAAGTTGTGCTGCTAACATGATCCCAAAAATAAGATGAGCTCTGTTAGCTCGACGGCACTAGCTCGCTGCTGGCCAACCCACTTAGCTGGGCGCTAGCACCACAGAAGAGCACGGCCTGGCGGAGTTTATTCAGCAGTTCCGCTGCCCCTCAAGGGGAAAGGATCGAATTCCACAAGTCGATGATTTCCCAAGGTGAAAGAAATGCGTCACGATTCAGGATCCTTGGGCTTACGAACGAGGCCCTTGTCGACAGAGGCAGCTTGGTAACAACTTCGACCGCCTTGTCTAAGCCCACTGCACAGCTGTTTCTGCCGCACAGATCCATTTCCCTCTCGCCGTATCTCCCATTCGAGTAATAACCTCGCCGCCGTGCGTGTGGGTGAAGCTTTTTTGGCGTTCTTCGCTTCATTGCTGACTGCGTATGCCATCCAATGCCCACGTAAGCTGTAAGCTCGGGTAAAGTCTTGGGAGACAGAAACCTTTGCCGTGCCTTGGCAGGCCGAGACGAGTGCCGCACGAGGGCTGCCAGACCCCCTCATCCCAACCATCGCAGATCGCTAGAGTCTCGGCACCACGAAAGCTCGTCATACGTCGTAGTGCATCGTCGAAATTCCAGAAAACTTTTTGCTGACCGAGGCAAATTGTAAACACCGGTTTTCGGGGCATGTCCTGCCGCGATGGTGCCACTGCGATATGAGCGTAGTCCCTCTTGAAGCATCACCAAAATGATCACGAGAATTGCGTTTCTCCGATGCTACGCACAAGACATCTCGGGCCTCCTCGTATCTGGAAGGTAGCCACGAAGAATAAACCGTTGTAGCCTGCCTTGCGACCCAAGACAATTCGGAGGGGACCGACCTG